CAGGTGGGGAGGTGGTTACAGGTGGGGAGGTGGTTACAGGTGGGGAGGTGGCTGATGTTACAGGTGGGGAGGTGGTTACAGATAGGGAGGTGGTTACAGGTAGGGAGGTGGTTACAGGTGGGGAGGTGGTTACAGGTAGGGAGGTGGTTACAGGTGGGGAGGTGGTTACAGGTGGGGAGGTGGTTACAGGTAGGGAGGTGGTTACAGGTGGGGAGGTGGTTACAGGTGGGGAGGTGGCTGATGTTACAGGTGGGGAGGTGGTTACAGGTGGGGAGGTGATTACAGGTGGGGAGGTGGTTACAGGTGGGGAGGTGGTTACATGTGGTTACAGGTAGGGAGGTGGTTACAGGTGGGGAGGTGGTTACAGATAGGGAGGTGGTTACAGGTAGGGAGGTGGTTACAGGTGGGGAGGTGGTTACAGGTGGGGAGGTGGTTACAGGTAGGGAGGTGGTTACAGGTAGGGAGGTGATTACAGGTGGGGAGGTGGTTACAGGTGGGGAGGTGGTTACAGGTGGGGAGGTGGTTACAGGTAGGGAGGTGGTTACAGGTAGGGAGGTGATTACAGGTGGGGAGGTGGTTACAGGTAGGGAGGTTGTTACAGGTGGGGAGGTGGGGAGGTGGTTACAGGTGGGGAGGTGGTTACAGGTAGGGAGGTGGTTACAGGTGGGGAGGTGGTTACAGATAGGGAGGTGGTTACAGGTAGGGAGGTGATTACAGGTGGGGAGGTGGTTACAGGTGGGGAGGTGGTTACAGGTAAGGAGGTGGTTACAGGTAGGGAGGTGATTACAGGTGGGGAGGTGGTTACAGGTAGGGAGGTTGTTACAGGTGGGGAGGTGGGGAGGTGGTTACAGGTGGGGAGGTGGTTACAGGTGGGGAGGTGGTTACAGGGAGGGAGGTGGTTACAGGTAGGGAGGTGATTACAGGTGGGGAGGTGGTTACAGGTAGGGAGGTGGTTACAGGTGGGGAGGTGGTTACAGATAGGGAGGTGGTTACAGGTAGGGAGGTGGTTACAGGTGGGGAGGTGGTTACAGGTAGGGAGGTGGTTACAGGTGGGGAGGTGGTTACAGGTAGGGAGGTGGTTACAGGTAGGGAGGTGGTTACAGGTAGGGAGGTGGTTACAGGTGGGCAGGTGGTTACAGGTAGGGAGGTGGTTACAGGTAGGGAGGTTGTTACAGGTGGGGAGGTGGGGAGGTGGTTACAGGTGGGGAGGTGGTTACAGATAGGAGGTGGTTACAGGTAGGAGGTGGTTACAGGTAGGGAGGTGGGGAGGTGGGGAGGTGGTTACAGGTGGGGAAGTGGTTACAGGTGGGGAGGTGGTTACAGGTAGGGAGGTGGTTACAGGTGGGGAGGTGGTTACAGGGAGGGAGGTGGTTACAGGTAGGGAGGTGGTTACAGATAGGAGGTGGTTACAGGTAGGAGGTGGGGAGGTGGTTACAGGTGGGGAGGTGGTTACAGATAGGAGGTGGTTACAGGTAGGAGGTGGTTACAGGTAGGGAGGTGGGGAGGTGGGGAGGTGGTTACAGGTGGGGAGGTGGTTACAGGGAGGGAAGTGGTTACAGGTGGGGAGGTGGTTACAGGTGGGGAGATGGTTACAGGTGGGGAGGTGGTTACAGGTGGGGAGGTGGATACAGGTAGGGAGGTGATTACAGGTGGGGAGGTGGTTACAGGTAGGGAGGTTGTTACAGGTGGGGAGGTGGGGAGGTGGTTACAGGTGGGGAGGTGGTTACAGGTAGGGAGGTGATTACAGGTGGGGAGGTGGTTACAGGTAGGGAGGTTGTTACAGGTAGGGAGGTGATTACAGGTGGGGAGGTGGTTACAGGTAGGGAGGTTGTTACAGGTGGGGAGGTGGGGAGGTGGTTACAGGTGGGGAGGTGGTTACAGATAGGAGGTGGTTACAGGTGGGGAGGTGGTTACAGGTGGGGAGGTGGTTACAGGTAGAGAGGTGGTTACAGGTAGGGAGGTGGTTACAGATAGGGAGGTGGTTACAGGTAGGGAGGTGGTTACAGATAGGGAGGTGATTACAGGTGGAGAGGTGGTTACAGGTGGGGAGGTGGTTACAGGTGGGGAGGTGGTTACAGGTAGGGAGGTGGTTACAGGTGGGGAGGTGGTTACAGGTGGGGAGGTGGTTACAGGTGGGGAGGTGGTTACAGGTAGGGAGGTGGTTACAGATAGGGAGGTGGTTACAGGTAAGGAGGTGGTTACAGGTAGGGAAGTGGTTACAGATGGGGAGGTTGTTACAGGTGGGGAGATGGTTACAGGTAGGGAGGTGGTTACAGGTAGGGAGGTGGTTACAGGTGGGGAGGTGGTTACAGATAGGGAGGTGGTTACAGGTGGGGAGGTGGTTACAGGTAGGGAGGTTGTTACAGGTGGGGAGGTGGGGAGGTGGTTACAGATAGGGAGGTGGTTACAGGTAGGGAGGTGGTTACAGGTGGGGAGGTGGTTACAGGTAGGGAGGTGGTTACAGGTAGGGAGGTGATTACAGGTGGGGAGGTGGTTACAGGTGGGGAGGTGGTTACAGGTGGGGAGGTGGCTGATGTTACAGGTGGGGAGGTGGTTACAGATAGGGAGGTGGTTACAGGTAGGGAGGTGGTTACAGGTGGGGAGGTGGTTACAGGTAGGGAGGTGGTTACAGGTGGGGAGGTGGTTACAGGTGGGGAGGTGGTTACAGGTAGGGAGGTGGTTACAGGTGGGGAGGTGGTTACAGGTGGGGAGGTGGTTACAGGTAGGGAGGTGGTTACAGGTGGGGAGGTGGTTACAGGTGGGGAGGTGGTTACAGGTAGGGAGGTGGTTACAGGTGGGGAGGTGGTTACAGGTGGGGAGGTGGCTGATGTTACAGGTGGGGAGGTGGTTACAGGTGGGGAGGTGATTACAGGTGGGGAGGTGGTTACAGGTGGGGAGGTGGTTACATGTGGTTACAGGTAGGGAGGTGGTTACAGGTGGGGAGGTGGTTACAGATAGGGAGGTGGTTACAGGTAGGGAGGTGGTTACAGGTGGGGAGGTGGTTACAGGTGGGGAGGTAAGTCATGTAGTGAGGTGGTGTCAGAGATGGATGAAAATGAAGACGATATAGAAATGAAGACGCTGTCTTTGGTAAAAATGGCCATCTGGTATAATTTGCCATCTGCTATCAATGTCATGTACACATTCACAAACTTCCTTTAAGAAACATCGCCTTCGATAAGCAAAAATGTATTTAAAACATTTGATATTCCTGATTTCTTACGATCCAATTTTTCAAAATGATGTATTATTGTAAGCACCAGCTGGATACTAAAGAGTAATCAAGTTTTTTTGCTGGCCTAAGGAACTCTTCTAACTTAAATGTTTTAGTGATTTCGATTAAATTAATCAAATGTAACATGACATCAGTACATTGTATTGTGTGTGACGAAAAACTGTCAGAGGAGAGTCAAACTAAATATTGTGACAGATGAATCAAACAAAACGTGACATAAAGACTCAAATAAAACGTGACATGGAGAATCAAACAAAATTTTGTGACATGAATCAAACAAACGTGACACGAAGAATCAAACAAAACGTGACATGAAGAATCAAACAAAACGTGACATGAAGAATCAAACAAAACGTGACCTGAATCAAACAAAACGTGACATGAATCAAACAAAACGTGACATGAAGAATCAAACAAAACGTGACATGAAGAATCAAACAAAACGTGACATGAAGAATCAAACAAAATGTGACATGAAGAATCAAACAAAACGTGACATGAAGAATCAAATAAAACGTGACATGAATCAAACAAAACGTGACATGAAGAATCAAACAAAATGTGACATGAATCAAACAAAACGTGACATGAAGAATCAAACAAAACATGACATGAAGAATCAAACAAAACGTGACATGAAGAATCAAACAAAACGTGACATGAAGAATCAAATAAAACGTGACATGAATCAAACAAAACGTGACATGAAAAATCAAACAAAACGTGACATGAATCAAACAAAACATGACATGAAGAATCGAACAAAAACATGACATGAAGAATCAAACAAAACATGACATGAAGAATCAAACAAAACATGACATGAAGAATCAAACAAAACGTGACATGAAGAATCAAACAAAACGTGACATGAAGAATCAAACAAAATTTTGTATGTCTTGTTGTGACTTGTTCAAACAGATACTTTATTCAAAGAGTTGCTAAAAAATCATTTAATAAAAACAATTTGTATATTGTAGCAGAACACATTTGAACCAAAAAATATATATAAATATATAACAGAGTCACAGTGACATTCATTTATCCATTATTATACACATGGACACAAGTATGAAAACATGCAAAAATAATCTGAATGGATATAAAATGTACAGGAGTCATCAGCGTGGCTTGAGATTGTACACATTTACATGAAATCTTGTTCAATCAGTAGGAATCCAGCCTACCAGACCTGGACAAAAATAAATAAACCCAGAGCTAGCCACTCTCCCATTCAGCCAGGGGAGGCACACATCCTTGTCATGACAGGGGTTACAGCAGGCAACTACTTCATCAAGCAGTACCTGCACATTCAAACAGTTTTTAACATCAAATACAAACATAAGAATTCTGAGTGGTTAGCACAGTGGTATGGAGAAGGAAAAAAAAAATCACACAATATAAATGGAGTATACTGAATAAAAATGATGTGTCTGCCAAGTATTGTCTATAAATAAGTAGTGGTAAGCCAAAAATGATGAAATGTGTGGTTTTAGCTCTTAAGTTTGTGGGTGTGTGGTCCCATGGAAAGTCAAGGAGAAGAGCAGGCAAGAAGCCACACAAGGCAGCAATCAACCACTGGCTGACAGACATGGGCAGCACACTAAATGCCACTCTATCAGAACTCAAGTATGACAAGGATTATGACATACGCTACCTGACACTACTCTCAATCCTCTCATGTATTACCCCCCTTTCTATTAACTGGATGTACTGGCAAATAATTTATTGAATTATTTTACAATTGAAGTTATATGTTTTTATAACCGATTTAAATCTGAATTATCTTATTTACATGACACCTGTTTTCTTTCAACCACGAGCTAGTGGTATTTTAAGCTGTCTATGACCCCTCCATCTTTATACACAAGTAGAAGAGGTTAGATATCAAGGACATACAAATAGGATGCCTAAGTAACAAAGTTGACATCTACAAAAACTTAGGAAGCAACTAATGAAATGTGACCAAAAAATGTTAGTCCAAGTCAAACAATGTGGAGAGTACATCACAGAGTGAAAAAAAGCTGAGGCTAAAATGCATACATGATTGTACAAAGAAGTTCTACAAGTTTGTGCATGCAATTACAATAAGTTACATGAAATAAACTATCTTTAAAACATTGCTACTAGTATTTGTACACAGAAGCCCATTGCATACAATGTGATTCCAAGGCTTCATTACTTGCCTGCCTGTCATAACTAAGCTCAGACACAGCAACATCAATGTAAGACCTGCTGACAAGAGTGAGCATCACTTGCCTGCTGGTGGGAGGGGGGGAGGGAGAGGATGGGTGCACCCCCTGCAGTCAGCAACCAGCTTGAATACTAGAGGATCTTGACTAGACCTTTTGGGTTAAAAGATGGGACAATCTTTAGTGTATTCATAGGACACTTGTTCAATACACTGGTGTCTTTATCATGGCAAGACACCTGCTCATATGTGAACTACAGGAAAAACATTGGAACAAAATCAATGAGAAAAATACTGCTGTTAAAATACATCAATTTGAAACAGAGTCAGTTTGAGCACAAATTTGAAATGAAGGAATAAACTCTTGTTAGAATGTGTCATACAGATGGTTGTGCAAAAACATTGAGGAGCTGATAGTGTCGCACAAACTTTCTTACTTTTTGACAGTCACTGCTGACAACTGTCTCACAAACTTTCTTACTTTATGACAGTCACTGCTGACAACTGTCTCACAAACTTTCTTACTTTTTGACAGTCACTGCTGACAACTGTCTCACAAACTTTCTTACTTTATGACAGTCACTGCTGACAACTGCCTCACAAACTTTCTTACTTTATGACAGTCACTGCCTCACAAACTTTCTTACTTTATGACAGTCACTGCCTCACAAACTTTCTTACTTTATGACAGTCACTACTAGAGTGACACATGTCTTACATTATGACAGTCACTATAGACTGACAACTGTCTCCCATTATGACAGTTGATCAGTTCTATTGACAAACAAAAGGTTAAACAAAATAAATTATATTCAAAGAATATGTAACAAAGCCTTGGGTATGATTGTTTGCATTGAGGATGTGCTTCAATGAATTTTAACCACTCAAGCTAACTTCAGGTAAAATCTGGTATAAAAAATGGTAACCTACCAAAAATATTAAGCATAGAGTTAAAAGAACTAAAAATGTGTTTACATTATGGCAAGCAATATTTTCTATAACAAACTCAAGTTGACAAGATCAAAAATAGAGGTAAAAATGAATTATTAAACAGCATTAAATAACTAACACTACGTCATTGCACATGACAACTAAAATGGTTTAGAATTGGTCAGTACATCACAGCCATTGACCCCTTACATACCTTGTGTAGCTAAAAAGTTGTCACCTCTATGCTATAAGTGGTGCATGTACCCCTTACATACCTAGTGTAGCTAAAGTTATGTCACCTCTATGCTATAAGTGGTGCATGTACCCCTTACATACCTAGTGTAGCCTAAAGTTATGTCACCACTATGCTATAAGTGGTGCATGTACCCCTTACATACCTAGTGTAGCCTAAAGTTATGTCACCTCTATGCTATAAGTGGTGCATGTAGGCCTACCCCTTACATACCTAGTGTAGCTAAAAGTTGTGTGTCACTTTAAGTTGTGCATGTACTCCTTACATACCTTGTGTACTTAAAAGTTTAGTGTCACAGTAAAGCTGTAAGTGGTGGGGGTGCCAGTTTTTTTAAATGCAGTATCATATGGGAAGCAACTCAGTACAGCAGATATTTTAAATGCTTAGTTTCTAAAGCCTTTACAACAGTTAGGATAATTTGGTCAAACAAAAGTCATGACTTAAATTTTTGTAACTGAGAACCAAATGATGTTTAGAACAAAAATCTTTAAGTAGCAGTTAGCACTATCTACCAATGCTTCACTTCCCTTTTGTACAATACAAGATACATTTCTTTTAATTGTGTATAATTTAAATGACTAGCTTTCACAGCAAAAAAAATATCTTGCCCTAAAGTAACTCCAGCAAAAAGTATGTTACATCAACAATAAGTCAAATATACTTTCCACAAAATGTTTGGTAAATCAGCAAAAAAAAATGTTAACTAAATGTACAGCACATATTTATCAGCAAAATATATACTTACTAAAACACACAAATGAAACATATTTAATGACTGTTTTAAAAGCCTTATGCAACAATGCTGTTAGTAGGTAATCCAATAAAAAATTTCTTTTTACTGTAGAATGAGAAAAGAGCGACTCTGTTTGACAATGCTATTAGAATATGATAAAGTTGTAAATGAAAATAAAATATACAACTAACCCATTGCACTTGATGGGGAAAGTTCCAGCCTTAACCCTCTGTATGTCATGCCAGCAACACTACATGTTTTCAACAGTTAGTACTTACTGGATAAATAACTCTTTACACCATTACTACATCAGATAGCTCACTTTTTAAAAATATATTTATTTGCTCGCCATCCCTTTATAACACTGACCATAAAGACAGCAACATTAGATATGTTGCTTCACTATGATAGCAACTCAAGCTTTGATTTAGCAACTAATGAACCAAAAATGGCATTTTAAAAATCCTGTACTGCTCAAATAGAGACCCAGCTGACAGACAATATCAGTAATTTCTAGCCACTAACTATACAGCCAAACGCTAGCTTGTATACATAGTATACATTAAACTGTTATGTTTAGAGAAGCTATTCTTAATTAGTTGGAGAGTGAGGCATGAATACAAAGTTTTTATTATTGACTTGAAATGTAAGTGAAATTTAATGACCTCTATATGGGAATAAAATGGACAAGTGAATCATTAATTTAGCAATCTGCACATCTCTAGTCTAAAATAAAGTGGTTCAAGAAGAATAGAATCAACACTTCTATCAACAAGTTGAACATAAAAAATGAGCAAGTACTAACACAACCTTTGAAATAGCTGACAACAAAGTTATGCTATCCACATCATCTCAAATCATATCACTTTGTCCAAGTAGAAATCTTCTGAAACTGTAGAATGTTACCACTAGTATTTTTAATGCTGCTTTAAGAATTGGATTTCTCAAGCATGTGGATGGAAAAGTTGGACTCTTATGAACAGGCCCTTACTAGGAAATGACTGCACGACTTAGATTGTCTGTAACAGAATAAGCTAAAGCCAAGTTGAAAAATGTTTGTTCTCGTTGTTTGCCTTCAAGCTAAACAACAAGCTATAACTAGTTTATCTTTGAGATCACTGTAACAATAGGTTCAAGTCTGTTATTTCACACTGATAATAAACTATCTTGTGGAACTAGGTTAGTTCAATCGTTATTACATCACTACATAACATTTTGTTCTGTTTTGATTCATATGACAATGCTGGAAATAAGATAAATGCTATCAACACACTCAAATCACACTTTAAAAAGGAAACTGCCATGTAAAACTGTTAATTTAAAAATAATAATTATGTATGTTTAAAGAGATGAGGTTATCGTAATAATAACATTCCTTCCAGAATTAAAAAGTGATACTTTGTACAAAACACAGGTTTGGAAATACAACAACAGCAAAAAAATAAAAATAAATTGCTAGTTGACAAACAAGTGCTGAATGTTATTATGAACAACACCAAACATATGAAACCAGTATTTTTTTTTAAATTTTTGATCCAGATGACTATCTCACCAACACATTTCATTAAATTACTCCCTTGTTGACAAAAACAAACTATTTAAAAAACAAACCATTCAAATGACCAGCCGTGTACTGTCATTATGAAACAGAGAAAATGACAACATTTAGCCACTCTTACTTGATTTCTTCCTTCAGCTGTAAGAAACTTGATCCATATAGTATTGGGTCAAGCCAACAACACATGATCCATTCATGTTGTCCTTAAAATTCTAATCCATTCTTTAGGAAGGTTATGTGAATAAACTTGAAACAATTCTTGTCTTTATCTTATTAAGAAGATTTGAATAAAAGAAGTATCAGTTGCCTCATTCATTTATTGAACTGCTGTGATGACTATGAATAGAGTCAACCAAATGCCCTTCTGTAGTTTAATCCATGTAACAGATGAGTGTAAAAATAGTTTGAATTTTACATCTCCACACCAATCACCCGTACAAGAGTTGAGGTTTCCTGTCTCAAGTCCAATCATTACACACGATTTTCATCATGCTGAGAAGAAATTTCATTCAACAACATTAACACCCATGCTTGGGAACTAAACACATTTCTTAAAATTATCAATTTTTTAAAAATACGTTATTGCCTCAGATTTTTCTTTAAACATGATTTAAAGCAGTCTATGATTTTTCCGTGAATTGTATGTCAAGTGAGAAATAAAGACTATGGTCACTTTTATTGAGGGACATGTTTATCACATGTTAACCAATTATTCTCATTATACTGTTAAAGCTTTGTTTAATATAGTAAAAGAAAAAAATTTCTTAATAAAATGTATCAGTAAATTTTTTTGTTAAACGCAGGTATGACAAAACAGTTGCTGACTAGTGTGCATTAAGAAAATTACAAGGACCTGCATTTTGTTAATACCTCATAACAAACACAAAGTAAGGTAACTAACTTGTGTAATTATTGACTGTATAGTATTCTTTAATTCATAAATGTATCTAAAGAAGAGTTGAACAATAAATATTTAATTCATAATTCCTTACCCGCCTCCTCCTGAAAAGTTTATCAAAGAGACTTCTTTGAGGTGGTGTTGGTGGTAAACCTTCAATCAGATCCGGTGTGGGCTCACCATTGGGTCCAAACACATTTAATTCTTTGTAGCATTCTGTCTCCAGCATCTATTTCAGCAAGAACAAAACAAATAAGTTTGTAATATTTTTCCTAGAAAGGACATAAAACATTTGAAAAAAGAATATTCCTGTGAAATATATGAAAAAGATGTACCTCGTTCTGCCAGGGTATGGATACGCTGCCTGTATTGAATTTACTATAAAATGAGTCATCACTGGCATCTAGATTGACACCTTTCACAGTGGAGAACTGCTCAATATCTAACACATCTTTGCAATACACTGCTCTTGGCTAAAATAAAAAAGTCACAATTTTTTAAAATAAAATTATACTGGTTTTATTATGCTAATATTTTTTTCAATGGAAACATGCTACTTACATCTGGTACAAAAGGTGGATCCACCATTCCAGCTTCTAACCTTTTAAAGTTTATATTTCTAAAAAATGGATGAGATTTTACTTCCTCCCCACCTTCATCTCCACAGCCTAGTCGGTTTGAAGGGGATTTTTGTAAAAGCTGAAGAAAAACCGTTCAAAGTTTCAGATCAGAACAAAACAATCGTAAATGTCTTTAAAAAAAAAAAACACACACAAAAAAGAACATAATAATGATGACATACATCTGTGCATATGCTTCTACATTCTTCACTAAATTTTGATGAGTATACTTCTTGATCTTCCTTAACTCGCCTATCAACTTCATCTCTTTTTACTTTCTCTTTGCGAGCACGAAATGGTGCCTGTGAACAGTTGAAAAATATGCTTTAAAGATGTGCGCTATTTATTTATTGATTAAAGGAGGTTACAATTTGTGTAAAGATATACAAATATTTATAAAATAGTCATGTAGAGCGTGTTTACCTTCCCTTCTATCATCTCATACACTATACATCCCAGGCCCCACCAGTCAGGGCTGTAGGTGTATCTTTCATTTTTTACAACCTCAGGAGCTGCAGTAGAAAATAGAGCCCTGGTTATACACTTTATATCACCAAACTATTATAAAAATATCTTAAGACATTAAAATTATTTAACAAACATGAACAAGTATTGGGGCTAAAAAAGTGGACTTTATTTGCTAAAATGTATGTGCTTGTTTGCTAACACATGCCTTGTAAACATTGTGATTACTTTGCACAAATGTAGACCATTGCAATTTTAGCCTAATTATAACAGGATGCACTTCAGATGGTGGGCGTGCACCGTATGTCCAATACTTTGTATTCAAATTTATACTTCCTTGATTTGATGCATGACAAAGTTTTTATCAACAGAACATTGTTAATTCATTAGCATTGGAATATCAAAGTAAATCAGGAAACTAGGAAATGCAATTTTCAATTAAGTTAAGCATACTTTAGACTCAAGCAAAAAATAATAAAAAATAATTACCCATATAGCCTACTGTACCCACTCGTCCACGAATAGATTCACCTTCAGGGATTTCAACAGCTAAACCCAAATCTGAGATTCTCACATGGCCTGCAAAAAGAGTAAAAATCCTACTGGTACTCTCAGACTTCTTACAGATACAATTTTAAATACGTAAATGAAAAGATATGAAAACAACCTACCATTGTCATCTAATAAAATATTTTCTGGTTTCAAATCTCTGAAACAAAAATAAAATTTCATTTATTAACCAAACTTTAAAAATTACAATTGTTTGCTAAAAGACTGGATGACTATTTAATAAAAACAGAAATTATACCTATAAACAATTCTTTCTTTATGCAAGTCGTTCAAACCACAAGTTATCTCAGCTGCATAGAACACTGCACGTTCTTCAGGAAAACCAGGATTTCCCATGTTGTGAATGTGAAATTTTAGATCGCCTCCATTCATTATAGTTAAAACCAAACAGAGCGCATCCTTTGTCTCAAATGCATAGGCTAAGCTAACCTGCAGATAATGATTTTTGAAATACTTTAAGGAGGCTTACATACATTTTTATAAGATAAGAACTTTAGCTGAAAATGTATACAAAAAATGTTTTTAAAAAAAAAAAACATTTTACAATTATTATTATGAATTATTTAGTTATACAACATACTTACAACAAATTTTGAGTTTATTTTCTGCAATATCAATTTTTCATTTAATGCCATAGCTTCGCCTTTTCTTTTCTTTATTCTTTTCTTTTCCAATTTTTTACAAGCATACATTTTCCCAGTTGCGCGTACTTGACAAGCACACACTTCACCAAATCCACCTTTTCCTAGCACACGATACATTCTAAATGTATTTTTTGTTACTGGTTGGCTGTAGGAGTATAAATAACTAAATTAAATTCAATGGAATCTTTATTTTATTTTTAAATAGTAGAAGTTAGTTTAAAAGCTAGGTTTTTTTTAGAGTAAACAAGTACAACTGCTTACCTTTCTAACCATTTCCACTGCATAAATCTTTTAAAGTACATACTTTCTAGAAAGTCATTAAAGGGTTCTTTGCTTAAATATTCTCTAACCAATCTGTGTGCAAGTAAAAGGAACATTCAAATTATTTTTTTTTAAACGTTTGATTTCTAAGGATCATTTGATATAATAATATAAGCCTTTTAAGCTTTCAGTATAAATATTGGTCATAAGATCAACACTACCTAGATGTTTAACTTTACTTACTTGCAACAATCATCAAAAAGTGCCTTACAGGACTTTTTCTGACCCATAATATCCTTTATCTCTGAGATCTGGTTGCCATTTACATGAGTAACATAGTTTTCAGACTAAAATTAAAGAGAGAATGATTTGTTTCTTTATTAAAAAGTAAATTAAAAGGCAGCTTAAGAGGTTGATTAAAATATTTTAAAATATTCAACTTTACTCCAATATTCACACATGCAATCAGTTTTAAATATTTAATTTATAATACTAGAATACAAACAACTCACCTCTGGTCTAAGAAACTTTTCCACAATTTCCTCAGCCTTGACATGCCTTTTCTCTTCTGGGGTAATTTCATATTCTTGCTGTAAAACAATAAAATTAAAGCTAAGGTTATTCCTAGATTTAAGCGAGTGAGGTGAACATTTTTCTTATTAAATGTTAAAGTTTTTCTTACCACTACATTCAAAAAACCAATTGAACGTTGATATGGTTCCTTTGTATTGCAAAACTCTATAAATAAATGTCGACCCAATGGTTGCTGATCAAATATATAGTTAAAGTCTTGATCTAAAATAAATGCAATAAAAAACAAATATTTAAAATTAAAAATATATTATTTTAAAAGATGATAATTGTAATAGATAATTCTATTCAAGAAATTTCGAATGAGGGTCCATCTTATAAATTAAGTGTAATGCAAAAATGACGTCATGTAATTTTACAACGTCCTTACCCATTAAAAATATATCTGATGCCATAAAATGACATCAGTTTCATAAAACATTTCAGATTATTTCTAGATTAAATATCTACAAGTAAAGAAATACGTCACTGAAAATCAGTATCTTGAAAACTGAAAATGAACACTTACTGATTTTGTTTCGTATATCTGCACATTGAGATATGTGAGGAAATGAAAGTATCTGCTTCCATTTTTTACTTTTTCCTTTTCTTTTACCACCACCACCTAAAGAGTACAAATCAGCAAAGTCAGATCTTGTGATGCCTAAACTTAGCGTAATTTTTGGTAATTGCTGAGTAGTATTATTTTGATCAAAGCAATCATACGAGTGTTCTAAATGTTCAAATTTAATAACATGGAAATTATTTTTGCAAATTTTGTCTCATCTTTTAAAGACCTTTACATTAAGTACATTGGTAAAGATGCAATCAAGGTCCATTTGAAGATCATATACATATATATAAGACTAAGAAGTAGAAGGCTAATAAAATTATAAATTTTATGCATTAAGTCTGTGTTGTTATACATTGAAATAAAATGTAATAAAAAATAACAGGCTGTGTTCTTAGATAATGAATTAGTACCTAAATCTAAAATATGGATTGGTTTATTTTTTAGTGAGTTTGCTATTACATGTTGATTATAGTCTTCAAACATTTATAATAGGATGTAGACAATATTACAGGCGAAGAGCATACTGATTTAACTTTTCTCCTCAATGCAGTTACTTAAGTTGGAAGTATTGGTGTGTAAGAACTAAGGCAATATCTCACTAAGGTGCTTAAATCCTGTGATCTAATTGGTTAGTTTTAGAGAAGAAAAAACTAAATCATGTGATAATATATTCTGTATTATTAAACTCATTATTATAGCACACTGAATTACAATAAATTTAACAGAGACCTAAGTTTTATTACTGATTTTTAGATTGTAATAAAGCTAATGTAGGTCATAGTTGTTGTCGATGGGAGTGGCATGTAAATTAGGTTGTAAATTTACATGAGTATAGGGCTAAGTTTTTTTCGTGTTCAGGGTCTATAAAAATAGCTACAGGAAAACATGACACTCTAGAGAGGTGGATTTCAGCTACGGGTAGTGTTACAATAAAACTAATTGCCTAAACACATCCTGCTGACATTGTAATAATTCTTTCAAATTTGAAGATAAGATAGTATTAGCAACAAGCATGGTCTGATTTAATATTAAAACTTTCACTTGTTTCTATCATAACCATAACAGCATAAAAACTTATTAAATTTAATGTACTGCTTAATTGCAGCTTACTCCAAAAGTGTATACAATACTAGTACCCTAATACAAATAAATGCAAATAAAATGGCAATGTTCAAGGCAAGGAACATCAAACATGGTACAGAAGCACTTTTCTCCATTACTCATTACATTAATGTACAAGTCTTCTGAGCCAACCAAATTTTTTTTTTTTAAATCCCAATAGTCCCAACCTTCAGCCCTGCATATTATTATTATTTTATGGTGAGTTAACCTCTGATTATTTTGCCACCTAATCTCATAGGGTTTAAAATAGTGGTTCTCAAACTTTTTTGAGTGGCGACCCCCTTTTATATAATGTAAGTGACCGCGACCACCATATAATTAAAAATTCGAAATTATTAAGGAAATTTATAAGCATTAAAATAAGATTTTCTATCAGACTTGAATCATTCTTGATAACGATGAGTGAAATTACTAACCTCAAAATTTGCTGATGACTTTTTCTTTAGGCCTATTTATTTATTTATTTTGTTTTTAATTGGAGTAGTTTTGAAAATTTATTCTTGAAAATATATGTAGAAGCAAAAGGAACCATAATTCTAAAGGCAACCAATTTCACGTTTGGGTATGATTGGTGCAAACTACATTTTCATTTAACACGGCAAGTGACGTGGAATGATTCCGCCAATTTAAGAATTCATCTTGTAATGCTTCAGGAATGCTGGCAACATCAAGGGACGCAGATAATGGGTTACGTGTCATTGCAATTTCTTCTTTCAGTGCAGGGAAATAATGCTGCACTTTGTTGTCAAAAGATTCAAGATGCCAGAAATCTTCTTTCAAATGTTTATCTAACAATCAGATTCATCTACCACAATGCAGTTTCTCAAACATGGCAATATTTCCAAGATTTATTTTTCTTCATCAGTTTTGCAGCTTAAATACAAATGCCCCAAGATTATCATCAAAATAGATAGTATTAGTAAGAGAAGCTTCTGGTTAAGCGTATGTTGATATCTGCTAGGTATGCTACTCTCTACTACCACTCTTTGTCATTTAAGTATATCAAAAGGTCTTGTTTCCCTTGCACTTCCAAAAGGAACTTGATTTCATCTTTCAATTCAAAAACATGATTGACAACATTTCCTTTTGACAGTCAGCATACTGAAGTGTAGAAAAGCAGAGCCTTGTGATCTTTATTCATGTCTTTGCACAGTTCTTTAAACAGAAGGGTGTTTAGGGCTCCAGATTTAATATAATTTTAGCAATGGAGTCGGAAGAGTCTTGCTGGAGAGGGCATACCAGTGGATTCCCCTTGGTTAGGAAGCTAAATAATTTTCTTTTTTTACTGAAAGCCTGATTTTGAACCAGAGATGGTGCACCATCCGTACAAACCCCACAGCCGTTTTCCCATGTTAATCATCCAGTTTTTTTATATAAAAAAAGCATGTTTATTTTCTCTCCATATCTCCTCAAAAATAGCAACTTTTCTTTGCTATCATCTGAATGAATATATTTTACAAAGACAAGCAACTTCAAAAACTCACATGTGTTGAAAAGTAAACATTTGTGAAAGCTTGATGGGAGAATATTTACACTGCTGTCCGCTAATGGAATCTTCTTTAAAAATTGGGTGTTAAGTTACTGGTAGTTAACTAAATAAATACACACATGGCTGGCTAATGTCAATGCTAACCCTGTCCCTAACCCTAAGCCCTAACCCAAACCCTGGTCCTACCATATGCTTAACCCTAAGTTCTAACCATAAAATTAGTCGAGATTACAATACTACTAACAATGCAACACACTTATTTTCAATAATTTAATAGGAGTCTATTGTCGGACACCGGTATCTATAATCATCCCTTTTTTGGTGTGTTCAGAATGACTCGTCTCAATGACGTTTTAGTTTTGAAGGTTTCATAGACTCATTACTGAGAGCAACTGCACAGTATGCATTGTCTCTATCTACTCATTTTCCAGTGATGTTAGTAAAGCCGAATTTCAGATAGGGCCTATTCTTCAAAATATGATGTAGATCTATGGTTTTTTTTCCATTGCTAGGGTTTAGTCTACCAGTTGGCGCCCCCCCCCCTCCCTCCAGAAAGCCCTTGGCGACCACCAGACCACCCTGGGGGGTCAAGACCCACAATTTGGTAACCCATAGTCTAGTCAAAAACTCTAGATCTAGACTAGAAATCTAGATTTCCATGGCTGTCATGATGAATGTGGAATGATCTGCTTGATAAATTTATTTTGCATGTTGTCTCTACGCTACCCAAACAGTAAAAAGTTATAGAAGATCTAGATCAATCTAGCACTAGATTAGATAGACATCTAGATTTAGTCTACTCAACTAAAAGACTAGACTAGTAATACGAGCAGGCCTGCTGAACTTGGATTGCCTGGCCTGGCCTAGCCTACGGGGAAAAAACTACTGGTCACATTCATTCAACATGGATGATTGCCTACCTTCGCGTGCTTTCAAATAAACAGTATTAGCGACAATATTTTCAAGTTCCATTTAGTTTCCAAGCGTGCTGAATTCTGCAACAGGGCTGTATTTCACAGACCCTAATTGCATGAATTTTATCCCTAAACCCTTGGTTTCTTTAACAGGGTGTGGTAAAACTCTTAAAATGGCTGCCGTGATCATGAGAAAAGAGCTTGCTTCGTTTTCGATTGGTCGAAATTCCCTGGAACTATTCTAATGAATAAAATATTGTGGAAGCACCCATAATAATTTATAGAAATATCTATATTTCATATCGTATCATAGAATCCATAATTCAAAGGTAACTGTAGGTTGCATGGTAGATCTTGTTATTTAAAAAAAAACTGTTCCCATTGTTTGAGTAGGATCAAGTGTTAAGAACATATACGTTTAACCGTAATTAAAGATATCACACTTTGTGTATTTAGGCCGCCTATTGGCCTATAGATTTCAGGGTCACCGTTTATAATTTTATTCTCCTAATAAAAAAATAATCTGCACGTAGGCAACTTAAGTATGTTTACTATTTCAAAATATAAACCCTGATAGATGCTTTAAAATGTACGTTTTCTTTGTTGTAAGTAAGTCACAATATTACGTATGTTTTGGCATTGTTCCATTCACAGTATCGCCACAATCGGCTGTAGATCTAAGTCGTATAAACCTTTTGTATCGTGACTTTCTTTAGAACCAAACTAGTATAAAAGTATCAGCTGATTGTGGAATTCAAGCTAATATTCTAAAAGCTATTCATCGAAACATTTACCACCGGTATATCTCAATTTAGCGTAAAGGAATTGTCTCGGGTCAATGCACAAGGTCATGGTGACATTCCGGCTAGCTTTTTTTAACGCTGTTCAACAGTCTGAAGAGTATCAAGTGGGTATTTCATCGTGTTTTAACATTAACCAATAGATCCTATATAAATCAAATGAATACGCATAGATCAGAAGGACCTACATGAATTTTCTTAGATGGGAAAAAAAGACAACATCATGGCTAAACATTTTCTGAATTCTTTATGAATGAAGCTGTGTACGGCAACTAGAAAAGAGAGCAGTTCTCAGACACAATGAAACAAAATACGCCTTTACGTGCTATGACGTCATAAATATGAAGACCGCTAATCTCTCCCGCGACAGGCCAGCCGCAGTGAGTCATTTGATAAGGCGGCAGACGATGAGCGCGCGCTGCTGGTCGTTACAACAGCGAATATCAGACGGCGAACATTTTATATAACAAGACAACATTTAGATTTGCATTTTTTAACACAATTCAGTTGCTATGTCACTATATGAGAATCAACTTTGTACGTATTGTTTGATTCTATAATCTCTGCGGTTTGTTAGTATAGGTCAGGGGTCGGCAACCTGCGGCTCGCGAGCCGCATACGGCTCTTTTGATGACAAGATGTGGCTCTCGAGTTCCATGCACACATATTATTTCATTTTCAAAACTCATAAAAATATTATATTGTAAAGGAAAACAACTTTAATTGGATAAAAACACTCAGCAGGGAACAATGAGAGTAGGTGAGGTAGAAAGTATACGTCCAGCTGACAGCCGCTTGGGCACCAGCCCCAGAGCCGTGCCGTGGACAACCCCGTGAAGACAATTCCATGCTTGCCATGGCCGAAGTGCCGACTTTGTCAAATATCGTTCAATAGTGAATGTTATTTTATTCAGAATGCATTTCTTTATCTGTCAATATGCATTAATTATACCTGAGTGACTTAGTTTTTTAGTTATTAGCTTCCTACTGTTGAGCCGGGTACTGGACAGTGGGGTACGAGTTTACCCTGGGTTAAGTGGGGTGGAAGATAAGCATGGTGAGAACCAAAGGACAGAAGTGGCTGATACGGTAATTAAACCGATATCCAAGCCAGTTAGTCGGAGTTTACCGTGTTGAGGCCTGCCTGACTAATGGCAGACGTCTCCTGACATGATGTCCGTAAAGAAAGACAAAAAATGTATAAGCTTCTAAAATGGATTGGGAAAGTCCTATAGTTATATTATTTGATTACTAAATTTATCAGAACAGAGATAGCTAAAATACTTTAATATGTTTTGTGCGAAACATGTGTATGTTTTTATATAAATAAATATTATTTTATATATAAAGCTATTTAAATTTTCAAATAAAAAAAGAACATTTATTCATTTAATCCTAATTAAATGCCATAATACGAAATAAAAGTGTTAGTGGCTCTTTAAAAATTGGAAAATTTTGTAAATTGTAACTTTTTGGCTCTTCCGGCCCAAAAGGTTGCCGAACCCTGGTATAGGTTACTGACAGTGACAAGTACGATTATTTTTAATTGTCTCCCTTGCTGAGTTGCAGTTTGGCAGAGGTAACAACACTAACATCCCCAAAAGAATATGAAGTCCAAAATTGATTTCAAACGTCCATCCCTTAACGAGAATTTGTTATTGATACAACACACATACCCCCTGTTTTATGTCATTTTAACACAGACAACTTGATATTAATAGACTAGCTATTAGATAATCATAACTAGAAATTAATTTCTTTGAAAAAAAAAACTCTGGATATTTTGACGTGCGCTACAGCGATGCTTACAGAAGTGTAGGCTACGTCCTAAACCTATGTGAAAACTGCCTTCATAATTTACATGACTGCGGCATGGCGCCATTAAATACATTCTTTTAAAACCCGACTTATTTATGCTAACACACTAACCTAGAATTTTTTTGTTTTTTGGTGTGTTTTTTTTTTGTCTGCCGATTCCAGGCCGGCTGCAGTGAGAGAGAGCAACGAGGGCACGCTATCGCACTTGAGGCATTCCTTTAGAACAGTGCACTGAGGCTCGTTAATTATTTAATTGCACGGCTAAAAAGTTGTGTTTTTTAATAAGCTCATTCTGGAATTTTGTTTGAAAATAAGATAAGTTGACGGATATTTGTGAAATAAATCTCGGCCAGTTCAATTCCGATTTTAAAAAAAATGCTTAACCTAATCGTCACATATCCAACAATAGATTAATAACCTCTTAGAAATCTAATCACGAATATGATAATTTCAACCCATCTGCCATAATCACATATAGGATACTTTCTGCATGAATACGATACTTTCAACCCTCCTCCCATAATTACGAATAGGATTCAATTCAACCCACGTCCCATAGTCACGACTAGGATACTCCCAACACCCACTTCACCCATAATCACGAATATGAAACTTTCTGTTTTGGTGTCACCCTATCATTGGACGTTGTCGCCCCCTGGGGCACAGCACCCTTCAGGACATCTACATAACAGGTTTTAGGACATGTACACCAAGGGTTTTAGGACATATACAGCACGGGTGTAGGACATGTACAGCAAGGGTTTTAGGTTTTAGGACATGTACAGCACAGATTTTAGAACATGTACAGCACGGGTTTTAGGACATGTACAGCATGGGTTTTAGGTTTTAGGACATGTACAGCACGGTTTTAGGACATGTACAGCACGGTTTTAGGACATGTACAGCACGGTTTTAGGACATGTACAGCACGGTTTTAGGACATGTACAGCACGGTTTTAGGACATGTACAGCACGGTTTTAGGACATGTACAGCACGGTTTTAGGACATGTACAGCACGGGTTTTAGGTTTTAGGACATGTACAGCACGGTTTTAGGACATGTACAGCACGGTTTTAGGACATGTACAGCACGGGTTTTAGGACATGTACAGCATGGGTTTTAGGTTTTAGGACATGTACAGCACGGTTTTAGGACATGTACAGCACGGTTTTAGGACATGTACAGCACGGGTTTTAGGTTTTAGGACATGTACAGCACGGTTTTAGGACATGTACAGCACGGTTTTAGGACATGTACAGCACGGGTTTTAGGACATGTACAGCATGGGTTTTAGGTTTTAGGACATGTACAGCACGGTTTTAGGACATGTACAGCACAGGTTTTAGGACATGTACAGCACGGGTTTTAGGTTTTAGGACATGTACAGCACGGTTTTAGGACATGTACAGCACGGTTTTAGGACATGTACAGCACGGGTTTTAGGTTTTAGGACATGTACAGCACGGTTTTAGGACATGTACAGCACGGTTTTAGGACATATACAGCACGGGTTTTAGGACATGTACAGCATGGGTTTTAGGTTTTAGGACATGTACAGCACGGTTTTAGGACATGTACAGCACGGTTTTAGGACATGTACAGCACGGGTTTTAGGTTTTAGGACATGTACAGCACGGTTTTAGGACATGTACAGCACGGTTTTAGGACATGTACAGCACGGGTTTTAGGACATGTACAGCATGGGTTTTAGGTTTTAGGACATGTACAGCACGGTTTTAGGACATGTACAGCACAGGTTTTAGGACATGTACAGCACGGGTTTTAGGTTTTAGGACATGTACAGCACGGTTTTAGGACATGTACAGCACGGTTTTAGAACATGTACAGCACGGTTTTAGGACATGTACAGCACGGGTTTTAGGTTTTAGGACATGTACAGCACGGTTTTAGGACATGTACAGCACGGTTTTAGGACATGTACAGCACGGGTTTTAGGTTTTAGGACATGTACAGCACGGTTTTAGGACATGTACAGCACGGTTTTAGGACATGTACAGCACGGGTTTTAGGACATGTACAGCATGGGTTTTAGGTTTTAGGACATGTACAGCACGGTTTTAGGACATGTACAGCACGGTTTTAGGACATGTACAGCACGGGTTTTAGGACATGTACAGCATGGGTTTTAGGTTTTAGGACATGTACAGCACGGTTTTAGGACATGTACAGCACAGGTTTTAGGACATGTACAGCACGGGTTTTAGGTTTTAGGACATGTACAGCACGGTTTTAGGACATGTACAGCACGGTTTTAGGACATGTACAGCACGGTTTTAGGACATGTACAGCACGGGTTTTAGGTTTTAGGACATGTACAGCACGGTTTTAGGACATGTACAGCACGGTTTTAGGACATGTACAGCACGGGTTTTAGGACATGTACAGCACGGGTTTTAGGACATGTACAGCACGGTTTTAGGACATGTACAGCACGGGTTTTAGGACATGTACAGCACGGGTTTTAGGACATGTACAGCACAGGTTTTAGGACATGTACAGCACGGTTTTAGGACATGTACAGCACGGGTTTTAGGACATGTACAGCACGGTTTTAGGACATGTACAGCACGGGTTTTAGGACATGTACAGCACGGGTTTTAGGACATGTACAGCACAGGTTTTAGGACATGTACAGCACAGGTTTTAGGACATGTACAGCACGGGTTTTAGGACATGTACAGCACGGTTTTAGGACATTACAGCACGGGTTTTAGGACATGTACAGCACGGTTTTAGGACATGTACAGCACGGGTTTGAGTACGACTATTCTGTTGGCACCACATGGCTGTTGTACTTCCACCTGGATTAAACCCGATTCATTAAACAAGAAACCTAATTGATGAGTACCTGCTCTACAGTGGCGAAATTGTCAGTGCTTGTTCATACTTCGAATTAATGGATTAACTACTTGCATCAACTCTGGTGTTGTAGATGGTCAGTCTAGACAAAGGCGTTGCCATGTTTTAGTACATGGACACGTGAACTCTTAATTTTTGGCATCTTTTCGGGGGAGAGGGGCCATAAAATTAAAATTTCTTTTGGGCGACGCCCGGGAGGGTGCGAATACACGTTATGGTGCCCAGAGTTCCAAAGCGACTATCTTAGAACTTGGCATACGTTAAATGGGCGTCCTGCATAGCGGGTAAGGGTTACTACTATATAATATTAAGCTGTAAAACTGCAACAGGCGCAGCTGCCGGCGCCCCAGCGACTGTGTGACCCGAAGCGCCCCGGGCTTCCATGTGAGCACAATAGCGTCTACTTTCGTTTAAAAAAGGCTTTACACTAAGGACCCGATGGGCAACACAATTTTTTTTGTCTATATCAAATCAGACGCGTCTGCCGGCGCCCCGACAGGAGGAGATTTGACGTCCCGATCTCACCCGAGCACTATGACGCCTACGTTTACTTTAAAGAGTGCGATAGGCTATGGATACAATGGGTTGTTATAGTTGCTCATTAAATCGAACCAGGCACGTCCTCCTGCGCCCCGCAGGGTGCGATTTAGCTCCCCGGGTTTTCCCGAGAGTACTATGGCGCCTACGTTAGTTTTAAGAAGCACCCTACAATATTGACACGGTGGCACACGACATTCGATGATTAAATCGAGCCAGGGGTCGTTCACGGCGCCCCTGCGGTAGAGTAACCTGCGGCTCCCGAGAGCGTCGTTGACACGTGGGCGGTCGCCGAAGTGTGTTATTACGTAAAGTGATTGGCGTACACTCAAGGCTTTCTTACGCCACGCCCTGGGTGGGGCGTACTGGGCGGTAGTGTAGGTAGACACTTGCCTCGACAAATAATATGATCCAAGAAATATAGCGCCGGCATTGTTTACATTTAAATTACTCAGTTTTAGAAAACAATTTCACAAGTCTTAGATTGGTAACGCATTAATGAAACTCTCTTAAAATATTTGTCAGACTTTCAGGCTTTTGTAATGCTACGGCAAAAGACCGACGGTGGCTACTAGTCTATATCATTCTAAACTCTACACTCTTAATGTCATATGAGCTTGTTGCTGGAGCCTACTAGCAGAGGCGTAGCGACCCTTCCCGGCGCCCGGGGACATACTTCCAATTTGGCGCCCCCTCGAGAGCAAATTTTCGATTTGCAACCCCCCCCCCCCTCGAACTTTTCATTTGCACCCCCCCCCCTCAAACTTTCAATTTGGCGCCCCCCCTAAGGTCGGCGCCCGGGGACATGTGTCCCCCCCCCCCGCCCCCCCCCCCCCCCCCCCCCCCCCCCCCCCTCGCTACGCTACTGCCTACTAGATCTAGATCCTAGCCTAGGTTTTTAAATTTTTATTTATAAAAAAATCATCGAAAATTTGTTTTCTATATTTTAACCGAGCCATGTTTTGAAAGTAGCCGTAAAGATTTCTCTGAAGAAGTGGAGGTTCCGGGTTGAAATTTTTAAGATTTAGCAAAATATTTAGAAACAAAACAGTCTAGACTCCAGGATCTAGATCTAGATCTAGATTCTAGATTCTAGCTTTAGATATAGGCCCTACATATAATTTATTTATAATTAAAGCAGATCTTAATCTAAGTGTAGATCAACTTCTAGATTAAATAACTAATACAGATCTAGAACTAAATACCGGGGCATACATTTAATTTAGGAAAATTACACTTTGACTTTACTTACGACTCTTACGACTAACTTGCAGTTTCAGGCTCACTCAGGTAAGACTTCAGCACTAGAGATCTAGAATCTAATCTAGAATCTAGATATAGAATCTAGAATAGATCTACATTACAATCTACAGTGTTTTTCTACAGTACACTCTAATTATACTCTAATACTAACAAACAAACAGTAACACTTCTTCTAGAATTCTAGATCTAGATTCTAGATCTAATCTAGAATCTAGACTAGATCAAGATAAAATATTGATAAAATTAAATAATACTAATACTACTAATAGTAATACTAATAATAGATTAATCATTAATGAATGATTAATAGATTGTTCAGGAATATCCCAGATCTAGATACTAGATAACTAACTCTAACCAGCCTAGCTACTAGACGTCTAGATCTAGATCTAGCTAGACTAGTTCGGACTAGGTCTTAGACAGATCCTGAGATCTAGATCTAGATTCTAACTACCACACACCTTTAAATTTAGAATTGTCCCTTCTAATCCCTTACAGAACGAAATCCCACTCTGTCAACAAACAAACAGTGTGCTGATCGTATTGGCACTGATGGTAGAATTAAGTAAATAACATTCAGCTTAAAATGGATGATCCATCTTCTGGTTACCATGGAGCTGACCCTACAGTGCTACAGAGTGAAGGATTCAATTTAGCTCGTCAGGCTGTGGAGCATGACGCTGCACAGCATTTTGAACTGGCTGCCTTTTATTATACAGTAGGTTTAGTAATCTTAAATTATAGGCTATGTCTAATAATATTATCATTCCATACTTTGCTCTTATATTTTATTTTAAAATAAATAATTGAATATTATATATTACATTAGACTTCTTGTAATTGTAAGACATAAGTTCATAGTAAGTTAATGAGATTATGTTTTAAGTTCTTTTTAAAATACTTCTTTTCATACTTCAGTGTTTAGGCCTACATAAAATACTTTTATTTTATTGAAGAATTCAAAATTTTTTTATTTGTACGTTTATTTAGTGGTCTTTTTTTTTGTTTATCAGGAGGCAGCCCAGACATTACTAGCAGCTGCTGATGCTGGTTCAAAAGTTCCCAACATCCTGGAAAAAGCTAGTGAATATATGAATAGAGCTGACACATTAAAAAATGCTTGTAAGTGTTTCTCTTTCTTGTGTGTGTACAATGTTATAAGTGAAGAAAGTATTCATTTTCAAGCATATAAATTGTTATAAATTCTGATATCTATTTCCCCATATCGCTTCTTTATTTAGTGCGATCAACACGAACAGTTTCACCAGAGCATCATAAAACAGAGCAACAGGTCTTTATTTTTAATCAACATCATTAGTTTGTTACCTGTAGTGGTATTTACTATTGATTTTTTACTATATAGCCACATAATATTATACAATCTTAAAAAAAGTTTGAATTTAAATGTATAGCAACTAACATTAGAATAATGATCGTTAATTAAATATGTAAATAATTCTAAGCATTAAAAAAATATTTAAAAATTTCTCTTTTGTAGTTAAACTTGGAGAAAGCCAAGTTTTTGCTAACAGAAGCATTGAAAGAAGATGAACAAAACAATGTGGAAGAAGCTATTGATCTTTACTCTGAGGCTATATCTTTATGTTTAAAAGTTGTAAGTATAAAAAAAAAGCTGGCTGCTGTATCTCACAAAATTGGATATTTATTTAAATGCTATAAATTCATTTTAGCAGTTTAAACAACTACTTCAGAGATATAAAATATCTAAAACAAACAGCTATTTTACAACTGTTACTCATATACTTGACTTTATAAACGTCTTATGCTTGGCAGAGAGATGGCAATCCTGATCCTAAAGTAAAAGAAGGGGTTGTGAAGATGGCAACCCAGGCATTAGACAGGTATTAGATGGTTGGTTTTTGCTTCAATAGTTAATTTTTCTTCATCAATGTCTAACTTTTAACACAGTGGGTATTGTGGGATATAGTTTTCATCAATGTCTACGTAGTCAATTTTATTTTCCAGAGCAGAAGCTCTAAAGAAAAGGGGCAGCAAAAATGTTCAAACAAACTTGCCTTCTCCTGGATCTGTTGTCAGGACTTTAACAGGTAGGTTTGAACCTCTGTCACCTGTCATCATGCTTTTAACAGGTAGGTTTGAACCTCTGTCACCTGTCATCAAGACTTTAACAGGTAGGTTTGAACCTCTGCTTCTGTCTGTGTCACCTGTCATCAAGACTTTAACAGGTAGGTTTGAACCTCTGCTTCTGTCACCTGTCATCAAGACTTTAACAGGTAGGTTTGAACCTCTGCTTCTGTCACCTGTCATCAAGACTTTAACAGGTAGGTTTGAACCTCTGTCACCTGTCATCAAGACTTTAACAGGTAGGTTTGAACCTCTGCTTCTGTCTGTGTCACCTGTCATCAAGACTTTAACAGGTAGGTTTGAACCTCTGCTTCTGTCACCTGTCATCAAGACTTTAACAGGTAGGTTTGAACCTCTGTCACCTGTCATCAAGACTTTAACAGGTAGGTTTGAACCTCTGTCACCTGTCATCAAGACTTTAACAGGTAGGTTTGAACCTCTGCTTCTGTCCCCTGTCATCAGGACTTTAACAGGTAAGTTTCTGCTTTTTTCACCTGTAACTTGTCAGCAGTTTCCTCTTAGAAAGTTCAGTTTTTCTGTCAAAAAATGTTATTGCTAGTGTACTTGACGAACTGATTGAACTTTTCATTAACCATCCTTCTGTTTAACTCCTAAAGGTAAGGCAGTCCCACCCCTGGGATTTGGAGCTTTCCTAGATGGTGACGATGATGACAACTCATCCAATAAACTCCTGTCATCTGCGGCAGTCCAGCCAAAAATTAACACCACACTCCCAGCATCCAGTGGAAAGTCTGGTCTCATCAATGTTGGCCCCAGCTCATACTCCAAGGAGGAAATAGCAGTTTTACGGTAATTGCTGGCTTATCAAGCGTTTACATTACCGTAAATATTTTACCCTAATTGCTGGCTTATCAAGCTTATACATTATTGTAAATATTTTACGGTAATTGCTGGCTTATCAAGCTTATACATTACTTTAAATATTTTACGGTAATTGCTGGCTTATCAAGCGTTTACATTACTGTAAATATTTTACGGTAATTGCTGGCTTATCAAGCTTATACATTACTGTAAATATTTTACCGTAATTGGTGGCTTATCGAGCTTATACATTACTGTAAATATTTTACCGTAATTCCTGGCTATTCAAGCTTATACATTACTGTAAATATTTTACGGTAATTGCTGGCTTATCAAGCGTTTACATTACTGTAAATATTTTACGGTAATTGCTGGCTTATCAAGCGTTTACATTACTGTAAATATTTTACGGTAATTGCTGGCTTATCAAGCTTATACATTTGTGTAGCAGTTTTACTGTAATCACTGTCCGTATGCATTACCATTGAGTGTAAAATCTCTTCCTTGTCCTACTCATAATTCTTGGATTGGCTTTTACAATTTTTTTTACTTTTCCAGAAACACCTCAAAAATTAACGGCAGAGAATATGTCCCTTTCCTGGCAGTTGACCAGAAAGAAAGATTTGCCTACCCTGAACAATTTAAGTCAGTTGGAATATTGATTTCATTATGTTTATGTTAAGTCATTATGATTTATACTTCATTTAAAATATATTTGATAATATCTAAAGCAGTGGTTCTTATCCTTTTGGGAAGTACCGAACCCCACCAGTTTCATAGGCCCATTCAACAAAACCTTCCTAATAGTTCTATCATCCGCAGTGATAAAATCCAGCAAACCCCTCAGACTAACTCACCGAAACCCCGGGGTTCAATCAAACCCAGGTTAAGAACCACGGATCTTGTGTTTAAAATAAAGAAAACATCCAGTGCTTAACATCTTATTCTCAGTGACAAGGATGGCAAACTTATACTCTCACCAAAACAAAAACAACAGTTTGAAAAGTGGGCCAGGCCAGAAGCATTCTGTGATGAACCAAAAATAATCTACGCAATATCAAGTTTCAGTATACGACAGGTTTTCAACATTTCTCTCATTCTTGCCAGTATACATACACAGTATAGCAGTATTATACAAATTCCTATCTTAAAATTTTAAAAATATATAGTGTTTTCCTTGTTTGTAAACTTGTTTGGTTACTAAAGAAAAATTTATTTTGTTTTGTTCTTCAGACTGTAGTCTCTGATTGTAGTTTTGTAGCATCATTAGCCATTAGCGCACAAAAAACTTTATTTTGTTCTTCAGACTGTAGTCTCTGATTGTAGTTTTGTAGCTTCATTAGCCATTAGTGCGCAATATGAGAAACGGTTTAGGAAAAAACTCATAACAAAGTAAGTCTTAGAATTTTTTTTTTACACCTGAAAAAAATAATTTAAATAATATTAAATAATTTTCTGTCTGTTGATTAAAAGGGTTATATTTAATTGGGGAAGAGTTTTGATGAAATCTGCAAAAAAAGTTTGTTTACTTACAGCATTATCTACCCACAAAATCGCAATGGTGAACCGGTGTATAATCCCTGTGGAAAATATATGGTCAAGCTTAATCTCAACGGTGTGTGGAGAAAAGTAAGGGATTAGAATATTCGGTCAAAACATTTTTTTACAAATTTAAAAAAATATTTTGTTTTAAAAGCTTCTGATATTGTAGTTCTTGCTACAGGTTTAAGAATGTATTGATTCATAACTCTCTGAAAATTATTTTCTCTGTAGGTAATTATTGATGATTGCCTCCCCTTGTCCAAGTATGCAGATTTGTTATGTTCATTCTCCAACAATAAAAATGAGCTGTGGGTCTCTCTACTAGAGAAGGCCTATATGAAAGTGATGGGAGGCTATGATTTTCCTGGCTCCAACTCTGTAAGTTGCTGGTCTGTTGTTAAGTAACATTTCTCTGCTACACCATTTTTAGGAACATATTATTGTTCTCTCAATTTGTTACAAGTTTATCTGTTGAATTTGTTGCAAGTTTATATCAAGTTATTTTAGATAAAATCATAATTTTTAATAACAAAATCCAATTTTTCAGTATGCTGTACCTGAAGAAAGTCAACAATTTCTAATCGTCTACTTGGTGAAATAAAAAAAAAGAACTTTAAAAGTTATCCTTATTTGAAGTAACTTCCCTTTATTTGATTATTTTCTAACACTTCTCTTACCTTGACATCTTAGAACATTGACCTCCATGCCCTGACTGAATGGATTCCAGAGCGGGTTGCCATCAGGGAAGGTTCCGCAGAATTCAACAAGGACAAGGAATTTAAACGTCTGCTGGACAGGTTTCACAAAGGTCACTGTCTGGTCACCGTGGCAACAGGGGAGCTGTCGGAGGCTGATGCTGACCGAGCGGGGCTGGTGCCCACCCATGCCTACGCCATGCTGGATATCAAGGAGTACAAGGTGAGAACCACTGTGCCTATATTTGTCATTGTAATCCAGACAATGGCAATCATAAGGTCGGGTGTCACCTGGTGGTAACTGTCCATGTCACCTACCCCCTACCAACAGTTTTGTATTTTCAATTTGGTGTCACCCCTCTACCCTGCTATTTTCTTATTTTATCTGGATAAAAAATTTTTTCACAGAATTATATAATTGTTCTGAATAGTGTCATCCCTAAATGTTGCGGACCGCACCCCGCCCCCCTGCTTTGAGAAACTGCTGAATCTAGACACTTTTTCATGTTAAACTCATTGTGATCTAGACAATCTTCTAATCAGATTAAAATTCTGACACAAACTTTTGTAATTGAAAGACTTTTATGTTGGTTAGAATGATTAACAAACAATTAATTCCAATTTTAGGGTCGCAGACTTTTCATGCTAAAGAATCCATGGAACCACCTGCGATGGAAGGGAAAGTACTCTGAGAATGACGCAACCAACTGGACGCCTGAATTACAGAAAGCTCTCAGCTATGATCCTAAGAGTGCTCAAATGTTTGACAATGGTGAGGACATTTCTAGTTCAATTCATATTTATATTTTAGTCCCTTTAAAATCGCAAATAATTTCTATTTTAAAATGTAAGGCGACTTGATATAACAGAATTCAGGTTGAAATAGTATTAAATATTTATTCATAAAAAATAAGTGTTAAGTTAATATCAAGTTTAGTTTTTTATTTGTTTACTTTACATTTTTGTGTACTGGATATGTTGAACCTTTTTGATCAGGTGTGTTCTGGATAGACTACGACTCCCTCTGTAAATTCTTTGATGTCTTCTACATCAACTGGAACCCAGAGCTGTTCACATACACAACCTGCATGCACCAGTAAGTTCATGAACTTTGGTTCACTGAGGTCTCTTATTTCATATGTTTTTTAAAAGTTACATTAAGGTCTTAACTATCTTAAATTATTTTTTTCTAATACGCATCATACAATATTCTTTTCTTCAAGTGAATTTGTTGCCATTGTTTCAACTTTCCAAATCTAGCACCTGGTCTGCTAAAGAAGGTCCTAAGAGAGACACCTACAACATAAGTGACAACCCACAGTATCGGCTGGAAGTTAAAGGCAACCAAGCAGGGGCGGCTGTGTGGGTGTTGTTGACTAGACACATCACGGACAAGGTAAATGTTGACTAGACACATCACTGACAAGGTAAATGTTGACACATCACGGACAAGGTAAATGTTGACTAGACACATCACAGACAAGGTAAATCTTGACCAGACACATCACGGACCAGGTAAATGCTGACTAGACACATCACGGACAAGGTAAATGTTGACCAGACACATCACTGACAAGGTAAATGTTGACTAGACACATCACAGACAAGGTAAATGTTGATTAGACACATCGCGGGCAAGGTAAATGGTGACTAGACACATCACAGGCAAGGTAAATGGTGACTAGACACATCACAGACAAGGTAAATGTTGATTAGACACATCAAGGACAAGGTAAATGTTGACTAGACACATCACAGACAAGGTAAATGTTGACCAGACACATCATAGACAAGGTAAATGTTGACTAGACACATCACGGACAAGGTAAATGTTGACTAGACACATCACGGACAAGGTAAATGTTGACCAGACACATCATAGACAAGGTAAATGTTGACTAGACACATCACGGACAAGGTAAATGTCGACTAGACACACCATGGACAAGGTAAATGTTGACTAGGCACACCACGGACAAGGTAAATGTTGACTAGACACATCACGGACAAGGTAAATGTTGACTAGACACATCACTGACAAGGTAAATGTTGACCAGACACATCATAGACAAGGTAAATGTTGACTAGACACATCACTGACAAGGTAAATGTTGACTAGACACATCACGGACAAGGTAAATGAGGACTAGACACAACACAGACAAGGTAAATGTTGACTAGACACATCACTGACAAGGTAAACAATAGACCTTCCCAAGACCGCCTATGTTTCAATAGACCTTCCTAAGACAGCCTATGTATTTATATTTCAGGCTGACTTTGCTGACAACCGAGAGTTTATCACAGTGCTTGTGTACAAGAATGGAGGGAAGAAAGTCTTTTATCCATGTAAGTTGACTGGTCAATTTTTTACCTACATGACTTCATCCATTTTACAACTACTGCTCAACTTTTATTATAGGATTCATCTTGTCTTCAATTTTGTTGGTTAACATTTAAAGGTTTAAATGTTATGTCTGTATATGACCCACCTAAAATGTTATGTTTCTGTAGATGACCCACCCCCCTACAAAGACGGGGTCAGGATCAACAGCCCCCATTACCTGTGTAAGCTGGTGGAAGGGGCCACAAGGGATCCCTACACACTGGTCATCTCTCAGTACGAGAAAAACAACACAACACACTACACACTGCGTGTTTACAGCACGTGTGAGTTCTCACTGACAAGGTTCCCTGACCCCTACAAAAAACAGTTTGACAAAAAGGTTGGTGCTTACAATCTTCTTAGACATACATCATAGACAGACACGACAATAGGACTAGACATTTTTAGTATGGAACCAGTTGAATTATTACTGTCAAGACACAGCTTTAGTAAATATAGTTTTAGTTCTTGTTTTGGGGATGGCTTGGATAGAATGCATGCTTGCAAACCTGAAAGTCAAGCTCGAGACAGTAGGTCAACCCCTGATTGAACTCTCTCTCATGTCTAAAGCAGTAATGGGGTGGGGGGGGGGGGGTGGGGTGGGGGGGGGGGGCAAAACCTGGTGGAGACTCACATGTGGTGGCTGGTAATATGGGTGAAAGAAATCATTGATGATTAACCCTGTTCATGTCTGGCTGGCTAATGTCTAAAAAGCTTGAGCCGTGCTAGAGAGAGGGAAGTTGTGAGTGATTGAAATGTATGTGTTTGTTGAAGAGGATTTGTTCTGCTCAGGTGACTGGCCATTGGAAGGGTAAAACAGCTGGTGGATGCGCCAACAACCCCACAACCTACACCAACAACCCCCTGTATCAGGTGCAGATAGACAACACAACTGTGGACAACCATCTTATGATAGAACTGCTGGGACCAAAGTAAGACTTGATTACAGTTAACTTCTCTTTGTTGATATTCTTAGGTGTTGATGGTATTTTAACATTGTAATGTCTCTACAGTTACTGATATAGTGGTGTTTCTAGATCTAGATTTTGTGTCTGATGTTCCATTGGTGTAATGGTTGATGGTGTTTTTCTATCTGTGACATTATGCTAGTGTTATGTTGATATCTGTGATGTTCTGGTGGTCTGATGTTGATATCTGTGATGTTCTGCTTGTCTGATGTTGATACCTGTGATGTACTGGTGGTCTGATGTTGATACCTGTGATGTACTGGTGGTCTGATGTTGATACCTGTGATGTTCTGCTTGTCTGATGTTGATATCTGTGATGTTCTGCTGGTGTTATGTTGATATCTGTGATGTTCTGGTGGTCTGATGTTGATACCTGTGATTTTTTCATCCATCCAGACAATACAGTGTGGGCTTTGAGGTGACGTGTGTCAGTGAAAATGTCAGCAACGCAGCTGGTGCATTCAAGCGTGTCACGTCAGGTGACTTCAGGCCTGGGTACTGCGTGCTGCAGCTGTCCAACATCCCCGGGGGTGTCTACAACATCCGTCCCTGCACCTTCCAGGCTGGCAATGAGGGACCTTTCTTCCTGGAGCTCAGCTGCTCTACATCCTACACTCTCAATCAGCTGCAGTAGCTGCTGGGGACAACGGCTGGGGACTGTTGGTGCAGTAACTTATGCTGGGGACTGTTGGTGCAGTAAGTGCTGAGGACTGACGCAGCAACTCTGGTTAATGCTGGTGACTCACATGTCTGGTACATAGATGGACTATGTATTGTATGTTGATGACAGAGTGAGATTCAGTATGACTTATGTATCCAAACCTTAAGGTTATTTTATTGTTAACCTGATGTTATGAGCTAGTGAAACATGACATAATGAACCCTGAACCAAAGAATGCTCTAGAACTTGTATTGTTGACATATCAAAAGATCTGATCTGCCTTTATAACTTATTTTGTTGGATGTCAGATTTGTGATTTGATCATTTGTCTCATGCTCCTGATTCTTGACTTTTAGGACAAACTGTCCAGCGTGTAACGGATGGTTTAAAATCTTCTTCCTTGTGCAGCTTTCTTTACATTAACACACTGTCATGTCATTTGATTGTTGACATTAACACAATGTCATGTCATTTAATTGTTGACATCAAACTAAATACTTGCCATTTACTTATGACTAACATCCAAGTGAACACATGTCACTTACTAGTGACCAATTAATGAAACCTATCCCTGGTGCTAGCTAGCTGAAGTATCAATAGTTTTATCTGGACTATCTGCTGGTGTGACATAGCTGATGTTTAGATTATAGAGTTTGTGGATGGTAATATAGATTATAGAGTTAGTTTGTGGATGGTGATATAGTAGTGTCACACAACAGACATCAGTTAATGGCATACTTTAATGTCAATTTTTGACATTTTATATACCCCACAGCATTGAGTTCAGATGGACAAATATCTAACCCATATGACATACAAACTCACGTGACATACAAACCTACATGACTTACAAACCTACATGACATCCAAGCCCATGTGACATACAAACCTACATGACATCCAAGCCCATGTGACATACAAAACTACATGACATTCAAGCCCATGTGACATACAAAACTACATGACATTCAAGCCCATGTGACATACAAACCTACATGACATACAAACCCATGTGACACATAAACTGCTGCTATCTTCTCTTATTGATTTATTGCTACATTTGCTGACTGCTACATTTTAATTAATATAAAAAAAAATCCATTATATTTAAATGCTGCTTTCTATTTTAGAAAATTGTTTTCATGTAAACTGTGCAATGATTTTTGAATCGAAACTACATTCCTTGTCTTGTTTGTGATTGGTTGATCAAACTTTTGTGTCCAAAATTGTGGTGAGTGAATATTTTCAACACTTCAAGTGATTGGTTGATCAAACTTTTGTGTCCAAAATTGTGGTGAGTGAATATTGTCAACACTTCAAGTGATTGGTTGATCAAACTTTTGTGTCCAAAATTATGGTGAGTGAATATTGTCAACACTTCAAGTGATTGGTTTTTTTGTGATTCTTTTCATGATATTTTTGTCTTCGAATGTTCTGATGGTGAATTCCTGTTGTAGTCCCACAATTTTAACATACAAACTTTTACTTGTTTGTGTATGTTTCTGCCTTATATGTTGATGTCAACCACTGCAGCTGTTTACTATGTATGCATACATGTTTTTGTAAAATATCGGGTTGCTATGGATACTGGGGACCTGATTAACAGAATCCACTGAAATTTTGTCATTGATGAAAGTCTAACATCCCAGCAAAATATGGTCACGTGTGACTATAATCTTGCTAGTTACCTCCCCTACAACTTGCTAGGCAGAAGAGAGAGGAAACGACCATCTTTAACAATTTAATATGTTGGTAAAAATAATGATTGCTTATTTTATTTGCAATATAATTTTAAAACAATTATACCGTGGGTCTGTTGTTGTTAGTTTTTTGGACTTTTAAAATTTATTTTGGTTTTATTGGAGTCTGGGATTACCTTACATTTTTTTATCCATTGATTTTTTTAAAGTCATTTATCTGATTGTATCAGAGGTGCCAGCTAGTCTTCTGCTGTTGTTACGGTCTCAGTACACGTCTGCCCACCTGTGTGGTGTTCACAGTGGGTTGGGGCAGTGGTGTCAGTCTGTCTGTCTGTGTGTGGCTTGTACTCTATCAACTGGTGTCGTTAATTATAATGGTATTTTATGCTTATTTATGACTATTTATGTACATGATTAGTCTGTCATACATCAACTTGTAATAAAAAATGTTTTGCAATGGATCATCTCACGATTTGTTTTCATGGTTTTTTTTTATGTTAGCCTCACTGTCGATGGTGAGATTGTGTCCGTGATCTTTTTTGTTGATCTGGGGGGGGGGGGGGGGGTTATAAGCTTGGACAGATTTATTGGGTTCTGACCTGTTTGCTCACTTTAAGGGAGGGTGCACTCTGTTTAGAGGCGCACACATTTTATAATTACATGCACACGCATGCAGCATTCATACATTTCAACTCCCGTATATTTAATGCTCGCTCCCTTAAGACCATTGGATGGATTGGTCACGTGACAACATGGCCATTAATGTAAGCTCTTCCTGCGCGCGCTACAGTTTTATCCTGAGAGAAACGGATGTAAATATTTCATTGGTGTTTCATGCACTTCGCACACACATTAACACATTTTTCTCTTGCTGGTTGGACATACAAGCAGTTTCTTTCAGACACTTTTCTCCGGGGGATGGGGCACTTGAAACTTTAGGTGGAGGGGGGGGGGTCACTGTTTAAAGTATTTATTTTCTATATAGATCTAGCATGTATGTTTTCGTTGGGGGTGGCTCATAAAGAAAGGCTACACACTATCACTATCACATACTAAGAATCTTAGAGGGTTGACTTCTAACATCATAACCTATTTCTGGTTCAGTCTAAAAATTCAGTGTGTGGGGGGATTACACTTAGATCTTTATTCAAATCTTAGCTGATGACTAGATTGAATTAATGGAAATAGAGATGGTGAAATGTGTAGGATGTGGTAGGGCGATAGCTCGAGTAGATAGGTACTGAGGAGGTGGTGAAATATTGGCCGTTCAGGTAGACATTTCGTTAAGTGTAAAAGTAGGCGAGATATTGCAGCAATGTTACAGACTCAAGAGGACAGAGAGGTGGCCGAATATCCCCACCCCCCAGGGAGCCGGGGACGTTAATGAAGACATTACCCAAACGATTCGTCCCCCGGGCCATGTCCAGCTGCATATCCGCCATGTTTAACCGGTCTGTAGGTAGCAAAAAATGTGTCAGCCCCTGGCTGGTGGGTAATAGCCCCCACACAGTCTTCTATTTCCATTTGTATGGCTGCATGATGAGCAGAGAATTGCCGGCTCTAAAGTTGTCAGATCTCGCACAGATCTTCACAGCAGGGGATCTCATTCTGTGACCCTAGACCCTAGTTATAGATCTCATTCTGTGACCCTAGACCCCAGTTATAGATCTCATCCGTGGTGCCGGTGTACAGAAGGGAATCTCATTCTGTGACCCTAGACCCTAGTTATAGATCTGGCTCAGATGCTTGGTGTCACTGTACAGCAGGGGATCTCATTCTGTGGCCCTAGACCCTAGTTATAGATCTGGCTCAGATGCTTGGTGTCACTGTACAGCAGGGGATCTCATTCTGTGGCCCTAGACCCTAGTTATAGATCTGGCTCAGATCTTTAGTGTCCATGTACAGTAGGAGATATCATTCCCTCACTATATACCCCAGTTATATATCTCGCTCAGATGCTTGGAGCAGCTTTACAGCATGGAATCTGTTTTTCCCCCTATTTAACTGTGAAGCAGTGCAAACAGGAGTTCATTTGCCGAAACCGACAGGTACCCACTTCGTGTGGGTGAACTTAGAATATGGACAGGTACCCACTTTGTGTGGGTGAACTCAGACTAGTCAGATACCCACATAGAATCTAGACTTTGTGTGGGTGAACTTAACCCCACTGACTCGAGAACTAAACTCCACTACCTCGTTACATACATTTTGGTGATTTCACAAGTTTTGGGCTAAGGACACAAACTCTTGAGAAAAAAAAATCAGATTTGTTAACATTTTCATCCAGATATCACTACAGATATGTTAACATCATCATTCAGATACCACTATAGATTTAACAGCTCAACATCCCGATGTCGCGCCAGATTTGTTAACATCTCAACATCCCGATGTCGCGCCCGATTTGTTAACATCACCATCCCGATGAGGCGCCAGATTTGATTGAGAAGCCCCGAAAGTTCAACATTTTCTCCAGCCGACAGTGTCTGGTAATTGGTGTAGTTGGTACAGGCAGGCGATGGCTTGACGGGCCTCGAATGGTGGTTCGGTAAGGTTGGGTTCGGTAAGGTTGGGTTCGGCTGGTGAAAGGTTGGGTTCAGTTGGTGAAAGGTTGAGTTCGTTTGGTGAAAGGTTGGGTTCGGTAAGGTTGGGTTCGGTTGGTAAAAGGTTGGGTTCGGTAAGGTTGGGTTCGGCTGGTGAAAGGTTGGGTTCAGTTGGTGAAAGGTTGAGTTCGTTTGGTGAAAGGTTGGGTTCGGTAAGGTTGGGTTCGGTTGGTGAAAGGTTGGGTTCGGTAAGGTTGGGTTCGGCTGGTGAAAGGTTGGGTTCAGTTGGTGAAAGGTTGAGTTCGTTTGGTGAAAGGTTGGGTTCGGTAAGGTTGGGTTCGGTTGGTGAAAGGTTGGGTTCGGTAAGGTTTGGTTCGGTTGGTCAAAGGTTGGGTTCGTTTGGTGAAAGGTTGGGTTCGGTTGGTGAAGGGTTGGGTTCGGTAAGGTTGGGTTAAGTAAGGTTGGGTTCGGTTGGTGAAAGGTTGGGTTCGTTTGGTGAAAGGTTGGGTTCGGTTGGTGAAGGGTTGGGTTCGGTAAGGTTGGGTTCAGTAAGGTTGGGTTCGGTTGGTGAAAGGTTGGGTTCGTTTGGTGAAAGGTTGGGCTCGGTAAGGTTGGGTTCGGTTGGTGAAAGGTTGGGTTCGGTAAGGTTGGGTTCGGCTGGTGAAAGGTTGGGTTCAGTTGGTGAAAGGTTGAGTTCGTTTGGTGAAAGGTTGGGTTCGGTAAGGTTGGGTTCGGTTGGTGAAAGGTTGGGTTCGGTAAGGTTTGGTTCGGTTGGTGAAAGGTTGGGTTCGTTTGGTGAAAGGTTGGGTTCGGTTGGTGAAGGGTTGGGTTCGGTAAGGTTGGGTTAAGTAAGGTTGGGTTCGGTTGGTGAAAGGTTGGGTTCGTTTGGTGAAAGGTTGGGTTCGGTTGGTGAAGGGTTGGGTTCGGTAAGGTTGGGTTCAGTAAGGTTGGGTTCGGTTGGTGAAAGGTTGGGTTCGTTTGGTGAAAGGTTGGGCTCGGTAAGGTTGGGTTCGGTTGGTGAAAGGTTGGGTTCGGTAAGGTTGGGTTCGGCTGGTGAAAGGTTGGGTTCAGTTGGTGAAAGGTTGAGTTCGTTTGGTGAAAGGTTGGGTTCGGTAAGGTTGGGTTCGGTTGGTGAAAGGTTGGGTTTGGTAAGGTTTGGTTCGGTTGGTGAAAGGTTGGGTTCGTTTGGTGAAAGGTTGGGTTCGGTTGGTGAAGGGTTGGGTTCGGTAAGGTTGGGTTCAGTAAGGTTGGGTTCGGTTGGTGAAAGGTTGGGTTCGTTTGGTGAAAGGTTGGGCTCGGTAAGGTTGGGTTCGGTTGGTGAAAGGTTGGGTTCGGTAAGGTTGGGTTCGGTTGGTGAAGGGTAGGGTTCGGCTTGATGAAATTTGTTTCGACGACTGTAACATATATTTGGACGGTACAAACACAGCATTATTGGACTTTCAAAAGAAAAATCACATCATTGGACGGCCAATAGAAAAATCACATTATTGTACAGTCCGGAAGTTTGCTGTCTATTAAATTACGGTGAATGGACGCCGCCCACTTAGTGGTTTCAGTCCACTGGTTTCCAGACTAGTGTCTGGGTGTACTGGTTTATAGACAGACTAGTGTCTGGATGCGCTGGTTCATAGACAGACCAGTGTCCTGGTGGGGGGGGGGGGGTCGTTACAAAACGTCTGTCTTTGACCAAACGGGGTAAAGAATTTAAACAAACTCCACAAAAAAAAAAAAAAAACAACAAAAAAACATGTTTTTGTTATAAAAATTCATCAAATTTAAAGCAGACTAAAAACGAACAATTCCCGTAAGAGAACATCCAACTAAAAACATCACGACACTTTTATGTTTTAAGCTATTCGTTCATGAAGTTTAATTCAACTTAAAAGAAACCCGTTTCACGCAGATATTTGTGTCTTTATTGACTTAAAAAATATTTTAAGGCTATTAATTGTGTAAATGTCCTATCCATCAATAGAAACTCTATCCTCCTATCCATTACATATATACACAGGAAGACATTATATATTCTATATAGACATTACACCATCTACAGACTTTACATCTTCTCTAGACATTACACCATCTATAGACATTACATCATCTAATTACATCTTCTATAGACATTACACCATCTATAGACATTACACCATCTATAGACATTACACCATCTATAGACATTACATCATCTATAGACATTACATCATCTATAGACATTACATCATCTATAGACATTACATCATCTATAGACATTACACCATCTATAGACATTACACCATCTATAGACATTACATCATCTAATTACATCTTCTATAGACATTACACCATCTATAGACATTACACCATCTATAGACATTACACCATCTATAGACATTACATCATCTATAGACATTACATCATCTAATTACATCTTCAATAGATATTACACCACCTATAGACATTACACCATCTATAGACATTACACCATCTATAGACATTACATCATCTAATTACATCTTCTATAGACATTACACCATCTATAGACATTACACCATCTATAGACATTACACCATCTATAGACATTACATCATCTATAGACATTACATCATCTAATTACATCTTCAATAGATATTACACCACCTATAGACATTACATCATCTATAGACATTACATCTTCTATAGACATTACACCATCTATAGACATTACATCATCTATAGACATTACATCATCTAATTACATCTTCTATAGACATTACATCATCTATAGACATTACATCATGTATAGACATTACACCATCTATAGACATTACATCATCTATAGACATTACATCATCTATAGATATTACACCATCTATAGACATTACACCATCTATAGACATTACACCATCTATAGACATTACATCATCTATAGACATTACATCATCTAATTACATCTTCTATAGACATTACATCATCTATAGACATTACATCATCTATAGACATTACACCATCTATAGACATTACATCATCTATAGACATTACATCATCTATAGACATTACATCATCTATAGACATTACATCATCTATAGACATTACATCATCTATAGACATTACATCATCTATAGACATTATACCATCTATAGACATAACGTCATTTATAGACATTACATCATCTATAGACATTACACCATCTATAGACATTATACCATCTATAGACATTACACCATCCATAGAGATTACATCATCTATAGACATTACACCATCTATAGACATTACATCATCTATAGACATTACAACATCTATAGACATTATACCATCTATAGACATTACACCATCTATAGACATTACACCATCTATAGACATTACACCATCTATAGACATTATACCATCTATAGACATAACGTCATTTATAGACATTACATCATCTATAGACACTACACCATCTATAGACATTATACCATCTATAGACATTACACCATCCATAGAGATTACACCATCTATAGACATTACATCATCTATAGACATTACACCATTTATAGACATTACATCATCTATAGACATTACATCATCTATAGACATTACACCATCTATAGACATTACATCATCTATAAACATTAAACCATCGATAGACATTACATTATCTATAGACATTACATCATCTATAGACATAACGTCATCTATAGACATTATACCATCTATATACATAACGTCATCTATAGACATTACACCATCTATATACATAACGTCATCTATAGACATTACACCATCTATATACATAACGTCATCTATAGACATTACACCATCTATAGACATTACACCATCTATAGACATTACACCATCTATAGACATTATACCATCTATAGACATTACATCATCTATAGACATTACACCATCTATAGACATTACACCATCTATAGACATTACACCATCTATAGACATTACACCATCTATAGACATTACACCATCTATAGACATTACACCATCCATAGTGATTACACCATCTATAGACATTACACCATCTATAGACATTACACCATCCATAGTGATTACACCATCTATAGACATTACATCATCTATAGACATTACACCATCTATAAACATTACACCATCTATAGACATTACACCATCTATACACATTACACCATCTATAGACATAACGTCATCTATAGACATTACACCATCTAATTACATCATCTATAGACATTACACCATCTATAGACATTACACCATCTATAAACATTACACCATCTATAGACATTACACCATCTATAGACATTACACCATCTATAAACATTACACCATCTATAGACATTACACCATCTATAGACATTACACCATCTATAGACATTACACCATCTATAGACATTACACCATCTATAGACATTACACCATCCATATACATTACACCATCCATAGTGATTACACCATCTATAGACATAACGTCTACTTCACTCAAAAGACCTCACAGTGTCAACAAAAGTACCCACGTGTCTACCACACAAAGGTCAAAGTTTGAATCCAAAGAATCAAGGTCGCCCAGAAACGGATTTTCCCGTTCACTTACTTGATAAAGCTGATTACACCCGAGTCTCCCGGGAAAGTTACTACGACTATTGATTGATTTTGGTGTTAAATCACCCTTTATTTTTAGCCTTTATTGCATTTATAGAACAAAGTACAAGTACCAGCCTCGAAAATAAAATAAATAAATATCTTCAGTTATTGTATCTACTTTGGTATTTCGATTTCATATGGGGTATGAGCCAACTCAGCTCTATAAAGTACCTAGCTGTAATCGGGGCGTGTAAAGACGGCTGGTAGTGACGCTGATAAAACTTATTTAATACGCCAAGGTCGCCTAATTAATTGCTTCATCTCGTCTGACAGTTTAAAGACATTGAAATTGTCTCAGTCTATCGAGGATTATCACGAAGAAAAAGAGAACCAACTCTTTTATTCCGTCTCACCGGTTGCCCCAGCGATAAGACGGCGTGCGAGATGCCAGGACAATATCTCGGGTTTTAAAACAAGATGGTTTTACGTCTGGCTGAAGCTGATAACCCAGATTTTTAGCGCCCCCCTCCCTCGGGCACCTACCTTGTAGGGGTAGGGGAGCAATTAGCTGTTTTAGTGTTTGAAATCTCTCAGTGATAAGGAACTGTTGAAATCTTGCGATGATAGGGAGCTGTAAAAATCCATCAACATTTTTCTGATAATTTTCTTGAAGAAATGAAAATTACGAATTAGAGGAAAACAACAACAAATAAAGCGGGAGTGATTTCCGCTTAACTTTCTCGTATATTTTTACATAACAATATGGAACCGGATAATAGAAATAAAGAAGTTTGTGGCAAAACCGTTCGGTTTAAGAAAACATAAAGAGACGAAAGTATCACTTAGGTATATCGAGTGTCACTCAAAAAAAGTAATTTAAGAATATCATCTTATTCTTACTTAAGAAATATCGTTTACCTGAAACGGTACAAGTCATCGTGGTCCCCCCTCCCCCTCAAAAAATTGAATTAAGTACCATGTCCGGTTACAGGAGTTCGTTTAAAAGTTAAAAGAAAACTGTACATACAATCTTTTACTTATGTGTCAAATTCCGTCCACCTAACTGAAACGGTGCTCTAGTTATCCGCTTTTGAGAAACCGGAAGTAGAGTAACTAACACTTCCGGTTACCAGAAATCGCTTCAAAGGTGAGAGTAAACTACGAATTTGAAGATGCTTATGTGTACAATTTAGTCACTCTAACTGAAGCGACACTATTGTTCAACCTTCCTCCAATTTCTTTCTCCTTTTGAAGTTTCAAATACTTGGCTAGCTCAGCTGATTTTTACCAAAAGTAGAACTCAATACTATTTAAAATATTGACATTTTCTTCAATGATCAATTTGTGTTATAACAAAGGATTCTTTCTTTATTAAAGCTGCTACAAACAGCTTTAAATAAACCGGGAGTGATCTCCCCTAAACTTTCTCGAATATTCTTATAAAAAGCAACAGGGGATGGGAACTCGGGCTATAGACATGATTTTTAATCAATTTTAAATACTTAAAGTTTTAAAAATAGAATAAAATCTCGTAGACAAATGAATTGCACACCAAGTGAACGCTAAATAAAAGAGTGTTTAATAGTGCGCAATATTATTAGTACTTTAAAAATTTACATTAGTTTTTTGAGAAATCGGAAGTAGCGTAAATTACTACTTCCGGTCAATGGAAATTACTCAAAATTTAACAGAAGGTAGAGAATTAGATCTTTAACTTATGTGTGAAATTTCATTTATCTATGTGAAATAATACTCAAGTTATAGGCTTTTTAAAAATTCAAAGTAGAAAAAGTACCACTTCCGGTTCTCGGAAATCGCTCAAAAGTTGATACGGATCTACGATTTTGATAAACTACTTATATATGAAATTTCATCAACCTAGCTGTAACGGTACTCAAGTAATCGTGTTTACACACGGACAGACACACAGACACACACACACACAGACATACGGACAGAGTTGCAAAGCCCAGTTTTTCAGACTGGATTACACACAAAACCTCTTAATTTTGATACATCTGGATTGATAATTTTTGCCCGATTAAAATAAGTCCTCTATACTTCGGATGTGATGAAGGACTGAGGTGTAATACGGTGAAAATTGTTAAAATTTCAAGTGATTTTTGTGCACGATTACAATACTTTCTCTATACTTCGTATATACGAGAAAGTAATTAAAAAATTATGCCAAAATGCAAAATTGTGACGAAGGATATTCGTCCCCTCCCGCCACAAGCGTCTACAACTCCAGGATATGACGTCATTTATTGACCCCCCCCCCCCGCCACACATAGCCAGTAGCAAGCCTCACAGCTGTAGCGAGTAGAGCGTTAACACTCCCCTCCCCCCCCACGTCATTCACACGTCTATAGTACACGCTGGGAGACCGTCTAAACTAATTAACTACCGCTTAATTGAATGATTTACTGGGCTTGTAATTAACACAGATAATAACTGGCATTAGTGCATTGGCCAACTTGAGTGATATCAATATGACATTTGTGTGACATATGTACAACTTTGGCCAACTTGAGTGACATCAATATGACATTTGTGTGACATATATACAACTTTGGCCAATATCAGTGACATCAATGTGACATTTGTGTGACCTATATACAACTTTGGCCAACTTGAGTGACATCAATATGACATTTGTGTGACCTATATACAACTTTGGTCAATGTCAGTGACATCAATGTGACATGTGTGTGACATGTGTACAACGTTGGCGAATGTCAGTGACATCAATGTGGTATTTGTGTGACATATGTACAGCCTTGGCCAACTTGAGTGACATCAATATGACATTTGTGTGACCTATATACAACTTTAGCCAATGTCAGTGACATCTATATGACGGTTGTATCTGTGTAATATGTTAACTTCTGACACTTGTATTACTTAGATGTGAATCTGAATGTTGGCCAACATAAGTGTTTCTTTCAGGCATCTTTTCGGAGGGCACTTATACCCCCCCCCCCCTGAACAAAATATAATTTATATAGAAAATTTACCAGTGTCCACCCCACCCCCAGACAAAAATTACTCCTCCATTTCCCGGAATTTTTCTAGTGTCCCCCCCCCCCCCCCCCCAGAGAAAAATGTCTGAAAGAAACTTTCCCACACCTCACCAGGTAACACACATGAAACCCGACACACATAAAGTTTAGGAATGTTTATTTTAAACCATCATCATTTGGCCGCAGTAGCCCGAATTCCACGCGTTGGTTCCCGACATAAGGGTTTACGACAAATGAGCTCCCGACAAATGGGCTCACGACATAATGGCTTCCGACAATATGACTCCCGACATATTGGCTTCCGACAAATGAATTGTATGACCACTATTACCATAAAAGTAACCATTTGTTCCTACCTCCACTACCACTATAACCTCTTTTAAATGATATTTTTTTCATAAATCAACAGCAATTCACAAACAAATCGAGCACTTAACAGCTACATTCCACCAATTTTACAGTTTTGACAATGTTTAATTTACAACAGTAAAAATATGTTGCTAAAAAGCGAGCACATACGTTTAAATGTATGACATACATGTCAGGTTCCAAAATGACGGGACGCTATTTGTCGGGAGTCAAATTGTCTGGAGCTTTATTGACTGGAGCCCTTTTGTCGGGAGCACATATGACGGGGTCCATTTGTCGCCGACCCTTTTGACGGGGTCGATTTGATGAGGCTTTTATGTCGGGGCCGTTTTGTCGGGGTCGTTTTGTCGGGGACGTTTTGTCATTGGCCATTTTGTCGGGGTCGTTCTGTCGGGGCCGTTTTGTCATTGGCCATTTTGACGCCGCACTATAAATGTATAGACCTACTGGTCAGGCTGTTTGCGTCGTTCGAAATCACTACGTTAGGTAGGAATCAACGTGTTTTGAATGGTAGGCCTAGTTATTTGAAGTGACTGGTCGGTTAGTGACCTGTGTTTTATGTGTTTAATTAATCAGAATTAAAACCTAACCTAGACGACAGGTGGGAGCTTCAAGATTCAACTAGGTTTATCACATAGTTATAGAAAATTAGTGGTAAAGCCATAACTCACTGACAGTGACGGAATAATGGGCTGAACATGAGGACACCAATTTGATGTTAACGACATCGTTAAAAATTTCCTATCATTCTTTTGTTTGTTGCTTACAATCTAAATGAATGTTGTACTCCTTAAGTCATAGAAGTTGTAATTGAATATTATCCTTCTGTATGTTTGCCGTTTGATCCCCATATATTTTAATTCTATTTTAAACACTCCTGAACCGTACATGTTTGTGTTTCAGTAAACATCGCTAGACTAATTGAGCTTTTGTCAGTCAACGCGATCTATTGCTAGTGTTTGAATATCCTGTAAATCTTCATGATTGTTCCATGTAGGTGGTTTAAGTCATTCTTTGATTTTTTTAAAACTTCTGTCGACCACACAAGAGCTTTTCAAAAAGTTATTCTTCGTTTGTTATAATAGCGCGTGTTATATAGATCTATTTTTTTTCTTCTCTGATGGATTCGGACCCGTATATTTTTCACATGTTTGTGCGGATGTCCAACCTACAGTGGTGTAGAGAATACTGGGAGAGCCACGTGACACACGACCTAAGCATGTATTAACTCCCTAGCTAAAATACTGGCAGGTATGGGGGCCCCCAAAAAAATTCAGCCGGGGCCCCCGCTCAAGCTTAATCCGCCCCTGGGTTAAGATTTTTAGGCAGGAAGACCTAAAAAAAATCATGATCGGGATAGAGGATGATAAAACAGATGGGGGGGGGGGGGGGGTGAGTACTGTTTGGTCAGATAAAACCACAGCCTGTTAATTTCAGAATTTCTATAAAAAATAATTTTTGGCGAAGGGGTGGGGAGGACGGGGGTGGGGGTAGGGTAACGATTGGACTAACGGGGTGGGGACGATGAGGTGACGTGAAAATAACCATGGTCCACCTGCCAGTCACGTTCGTCATCTGACCACGTGACCCCCCTGTTATTGTCACGGATCATTTCCCAGCTCTTGTATTCGAGGGTATAAAATCCCGGTGTGTGAGACAGACGCTGCAGGTCCCGAGTTGATCCACGAGAAGTGGATAACTCAGCATCTATCTACTACCATGGCGCAGTTAGAGTTCCTGTTCCTGATCTTTGGTGAGCGCCATTTTGATTCAATTTATCGCGTTTTAATATTTTGTTTTCGGTATGATCTTTTCATTTCAATTTTATTTAAAAATCGCGTTTTAATATTTTGTTTTGGGTATGATCTTTTCATTTCAATTTTTTAATATCATGTTTTAATGTTCAATTGTGTTTGCTAACGAATATTGTTTGACGTTCAACTCTGTTTGCTAACGAATATTGTTTGATGTTTTAACTTTGTTTGCTAACGAATACTGTTTGATGTTTTAACTCTGTTTGCTAACGAATATTGTTTGACGTTCACCTCTGTTTGCTTATGAATATTGTGTTTCAGTCAAATGCTTGACCGTTCAAGTCGACGTTTTAGCTGCCGATGAAATGAGCGCCAAAATTGCTATTTTGGAAGGAATCGTGGACTCGTTAGGAAAGCAACTAATGCAGAACCAGCTGTTTGTAGAAGAAAGGCTAGTTTGAAAAAATTAGAGGAAGCGTCTGTCTTTAATCAATTCTGATAATTAATTTAATACAAATAAATTCCAGGTCAATCTATTAACCAGTGTTTCTTTTAGACTTTTTTCTTCGGGTGGGATGGGGAGGGAGGGCACTTGAGATTTTCGGGGGAGGGGGGGGGGCGGCGGTCGACGTTCTTGTTAACTCTGACGATGACCTGATGTCGCAACATAATAATAATCTTCTTTTTTCATTAAGCTGAAATTTTAAAAAATTCTAACCATTATAAGCGTGTTTCTAATTGTTATTTACCTTTTAATCTATTTTACGTTGGATCGCTTCTCTTTTCACCAGGGTTCGTTCTGATGGAGAATCTGGGATCAAGAAAGTCCGACTTTACCATGAGGGGACGAGGCCGTACTTCGCGGACACCCATGTAGCTCAGTCAGCCATCGCCATACACGACCACGCTGACTACGACAGGACACTAGGCCTCGGTATGTACTATCTAATGCCATCTCCACTGGATACATTCTTCTACCTAATGCCATCTCCACTGGATACATTCTTCTACCTAATGCCATCTCCACTGGATACATTCTTCTACCTAATGCCATCTCCACTGGATACATTCTTCTACCTAATGCCATCTCCGCAAACTTTAACTGTTTCAGAAGACTAAATCATTTTTGTTTGTTTTCACGTTGTAGGGGAGTTCATAGGCGTTCTCAACGGGGTGGAGTTTCGAACCCGACACAACGATTACAAGCTGAAAATGTCGTCCACAACGAGCACTAGATACCACGAGATCGAAGACATCACATTACCCACTGTACCTCCTGAGGTGTTACACAAACCTACCCTCCAGGTACCTATCACATTCCCCACTGTACCTCCTGAGGCGTCACACAAACCTACCCTCCAGGTACCAATCGCATTCCCCAAAATCCAGATGTTCTACAGAAACCTATCCCATCGTATTCCTCAGTCTTTGCTCCTAAAGCATTACACGCATTTTCTCCTATGCCGCCTTACGTCTTCACATAAAGCTACATTCCGGGTATAGTTCAAATTTATAAAGCTCCGAGACTTTACACAAATATATCACATTTCAAATAATTCAATAATTACCGCTTGTTACAACATGTAAAATTAAATGCTGTTTTTTAATCTCTGGTAATGGCAGGAGCAGGTCGTAGAGATGAGAGAATGGTTCCGTGCCTTCAAAGAACAAAACTACACGGTCCGCGACTACAGACCTTACTTCAAGCCTGTGTTGTGTTCGATAGAGGGAGCCTGGACGCTCGCTAAAGACATAGAGGAACCCTTCCCTAGTGATCGACATCACCTAGATGCGACTAGCTGGGCGGACTTGGCAGAAAAGGTAGCTAATCTTACCGTGTTTATATCACATAATCTCATCGTGTTTGTAGCACATAATCTCATCGTATTTGTAGCACATAATCTCATCGTATTTGTAGCACATAATCTCATCGTATTTGTAGCACATAATCTCATCGTATTTGTAGCACATAATCTCATCGTATTTGTAGCACATAATCTCATCGGAATTCTTCGTTTTCAATTCATTCTAAATGCATCTGTCTGTGAGTTGAAATATCACTAAGTCTAATCCTGTTGTATAACTTTAGATCAGCTTCACATCCTACACTGGAGCTAAGCACAATCTTGAGAATTTCGCCTTTCTACCATCCAAGATGTACGCTATAGAAAACGGTGTACCCCAGTTCGCACAATGGAACTACAGAGTCATTTGTACCCCACTCAGGTAATTGTGGTAGAATTGTCTTACACTTAAATAAAATGTTCCCATTTTATCAAGACGTTTTCCGATGATAACACACAAAGGTGAAATACGCAAAGGGAACCGCCGGAAATTTTTACATTTGACAGCTGATGAAATATTTGCCAATTCCGGAGAAGTTGATGTCCCGCGAGGCTTGGGTTATAACAAAACACAAACTACAAGAACTACCTTCAACTGATAACATTTCTCATTAGTAAACTACAAGAACTACCTTCAACTGATAACATTTCTCATTAGTAAACTACAAGAACTATCTTCAACAGATAACATTTCTCATTAGTAAATTACAAGAACTACCTTCAACAGATAACATTTCTCATTAGTAAACTACAAGAACTACCTTCAACATTTCTCAAAAGTTCATTATTTTAAATTTTTTATTCAGTACTTTAAATTTGTAAAAAATTTACAATAGTGTTACATGACTAAAAACCATTGCGCAACTAATGAACGTGATAACGCGCGTATAATAGTGCGGAATAGTTGGACAAGACAGCCCACTA